GCGCGGCCCCACTCGCGTCTGTTCGATGGTAATTTCCACCGCGCCGATTTGAGCACACGGCGGCACAGGTGAGCGCCAGACGTCAGAGGTATAATTAAGGGCACCGTGCTCAAAGGGGGCATGTTGAGTCCACTTTTGGTAGTTATTTTGATTTGATTTGGCATATCGGGTGGCACATTAGTATTCTGCTTTTCATCATGAAGTTCAGTTTTCCCAACTGCATGTTACTTACGATGTCACGTGGGTCGTAGACAATGAAAATGGAGCACAAGCTGAAATGTGCGCAAACAAGTAAAGCGTGATGCGTGCTTGAATTTACACTGAGAGACAGAAGGAAGAACACGTGACTTGGAGAACATTTATGGAGACCTATTGACTATGAAGAAAGTAAACAGACTTAAGCTGGACATGTCGTTCGAAGCGGATGGCGGCTAATGGTCAAAACGAACGACTGAGTGGAAGTCAAAGAAGGGAACACGCCAGAAAAGACATCCACCGCAGATATGGAGATTTGAGATCAGCTTGTGTGCAGTTAGTACATTTATTGTTGCAGCGCAAGACTGAGAAATGGTGACGGCTTGGCGAGACCATCATCCAACAATGGATGGTTCATGGCTATTGTGGAAGACAAGTTGCATTTGTAAATATAAATGAAACAACTTGCTTCTCTCTAGGCAGTAATGATGCCAAGTTGATATGTGATAATTTTGTGTCTACTGTTGTACATCTAGGTCTACTGTTGTACATATTTCCATTCTGCCTTTTTTTAATAGTTTTCAAATAAAACTTAGGAGCTACTTTGGCAGACCAGATATACCATATCCCACCACTCTTGTCATCAAATCATAATACTGCAGTACTCATTTTCAGTCTTTTCTCAATTGACCGCTGGATGATATCCTTCCCATGCTGTTGTCAGTCATGGGGGTTGTTTGACCATACTTCACCACGTTGGTCAGTGCAGGTCAGTGAAGGTTAGCACTTGCCCCAAACTGATTTTTTTGAAGAGTAACTTAGCCAAGAATGTGTGCTTTGGTAAAGAAAGTAGCGGGACGTCTGTAATGCATTGTGGGTAACATTTATTTTCATAAATTCTGCTTTTTTTAATACTTTTGGTATTTGTTATTTTGCTTTCCAAAGGTTCCCATAAATGCACACTAAACCAGCTTGTCCTGAGCAGTGTGGCACTTTAAACAAACAGCTGCATGTGGGCGGTTGTAAGGGCAGGTATTTGCCCTCCTTGAATAGCTGTAGGCTTGGAATTTGTAATGCTTTATTGGAGTAGCACTTAAGATTCCATTATGCATGCACAATTTAAACCTGACTATATATAAAAAAAAAACTAATTTTGAACGGCCGAAGAGACCTACCCATCACATTCTCTACGTACAACCCATGCTTTTTAAGCATGTGAGCTTAAGCTGAACAAATAGTGTGCGCTTTTCATAATAAACCCGTGCAAATAATATAGCTCGCATTGTTGGTATTGTATCGTGATTGTAAGCAGACACGACACTCGACAGAGATTGCACAGGGATGGGCAAAAGTGGAAAGGTTTTACAGCTGAGGTATAAGTGGGTGCCCCCACGACCACTGCGGTCAAGGGAGAGATAATGATGACGATGATGAAGAAGGTTTGTATAGTTAGAGCAACATTATGGACAATACCCCAAGGGCCTCCTGAATACCACCCACTCTCTAACATAGCCCGCTACGAATTAACCAATGCCTACGTGCAGACACACCCACACGCACGCAAACACATCGGAAAACACAAACCCGAAACGAGACACGTAGACGCAACTGTTGAGATGTACGCACTTGGACAGACGCCTGTGCTGGGTGCAAGCGAATGACGCTTGTGTAAGTTAATCATAGAACAAAGAGACCCCCCTTGAACAGACCGCTGGGGCAATTGCTGTTAACGAGTACCTATGAAGGTCTTCACGGCACATGAGGGGGTGGGTGGCCAGCATCAAGTCCGGCCGCCTTTGTCTCCCCAGTGGCGTTGTTTACACACCAAGTACTAATTTGAGGCTGAGTCGACCTCCGGGGAGGTCCCAGGACGAGTACAGATTATCGTCACTGGTGTTGGCCGTGAGCGGGAATCGAACCCGGGTCAGCGGCTTCGTGGCGCAACTCGCGAACCACTACACGACCGTGACACACACACATGCACTCACTTGCGCACTGTGTTCTGTGGTCGAGGTTCACACATGCACGTCCAGACACGTCCCGATAACTCGCCCACGAGCGTGGAAGCATCTGTGTAGTCTAATTGAAGGGTGTCCTGGAAAAACCTGATAATTCACATTTATATTTTTTTCAGATTTTTCTTTTTGCTTCAGATAACCTATGCTAGCTTGTTAGGAGCTCATTGCAGTCCACTTGATAGCTTCAATTGTATCATCTCCCCGCAGATGGCCACACAATTAACTTATTAATTCACTTTTCCATCCACTTGATAAGCTCTACTTCTTGACAATGAGATTTTGTGGGTTATGAAGTTATTGAAGGACACAGGCAAAGATCCCCTGTACTGCCTCAACAGACTTTTGGGACAAGTACCATAAGTGGCACGGCACACAGGGGGGTGGATGGCCAGCACCACACCCGCCCGCTTTTAGTTCCCTATTCCCGTTCTTTACATATTGCTCCAGATACTCATTTAAGGCCAACCATCAAGTGGAACACAGGTACATCTGGATTAATTTTAAACGATTATCACATTGGTGGATTTTAAAAAGATTGTGTTACATTGTTATCTCGAACAGTAAAATTACAGTATTGACATAATTCTAATTTGTTTATTCAATCCATGTAACTTTCATAAGAAGCATAAGCATACCAGATGGCTCTAGTCTCAATATGGTCATAGCCATCATACAATGCAAAACCTTTGATGCTTTATGATAAACTAAGGCCCGTTCTGAGGCAGTTATGAATGGAGGATGGGTGTTAGCAAGGTGATGAACTCGTATCATGAATTACAAAACAAAAACCTTCCCATATTTATGTCTGCAAATATATATTTTTTAATCAACCCATCGACAGCATGGCATTCTGGGAGTGCATCTGATCAGCAGCTTCGGTTCAATATGAGAAAACATTGGACCGGTTTTTGACGATCAGTGCCCCAGCAGCAGTCAGGTTTTGCATGAACCAATACTGGTGAATTCCACGATGTGTTGTGAATTCGATGGGGTGCCACGGTGGTAAGATGTTATCTCCCTTGCCTAATACGCAGGAAGTTGTGGGTCCCATCTCGATTCAGACGCCTCTATTTTTGGAGTTCATATGATCTCTCTCCCCGTGATCACGTGGGGTTTCCTCCACTTCCTCCCGTTTAGCCCTCCACATTTATAAAACATGCATTTAGATTATTCGGCCGCCGCTATAAATTCCCACGTGTGATGTAAGCCACTTCAACGCGCTATTATGTATGGCAAGGTTCACGTCTTAAAAAGAGCGAATACCTCTGAGCTGGCAATAAATGATTGTCTGGTTCGGATAATCATCCTTCAGTTTTCTTGGTTCTTTCGGTAAAGTAACGTAGAAGGGAACTAATAAAATAATAAAAACAAAACATGATAAAATAAAATTCTCACGACGTTTCGGCCACAACACAAGCAGCCGTCCTCAGGTGTTGTGGCCGAAACGTCGTGAGAATTTTATTATGTTTTATTTTTATTTTATTATTTCCTTTCTACGTGACTTTACCTAAAGAACCAAGAAGATGAATCCCTGCAGTCACGAAAGCTTTAAATCGAAATTCATCCTTCAGTTGTTGAGAGCATTTTTTTTTTATTTTGGTGACTGCTGCGCCGCACTGGGCCATGGCTCTTTCACGACAGAATGGGACGCGCAAAAAAAGAAAATAAAAAACGTGTCTGCTTTAGCTGATCAGTTAACGTCAGAAAGATTAAACGCTTTAAAAAAACGTGCTTGAACCTTTCCCTCACCTCTGGTTTCCTTTCAATGATCGACTTTGTGTGCAGTGTGGCTTTCATAAAATATCAGTCTCACTTACAAAGGTCACTCGGCGAGACTTCAAAGTCTGTGCGACTGGCCTGGCTCGCATGGTGGCTCATCGGCATGCCATGGCGTGCGGTCTGCAGTGTGAAATAACGTTTATAAATGCAAATAAATTTCGAGTTAATTGACAGCGTATTGTCACCAAGCTACAAAGAACATATCATTGAACTGTGTATTTTGTAAATAGAGTAATTGTATGTGAATTGATTATTTTTTATTGTAACACAAGTCCATGCAAGCCATTCAGATGTGCATTTGTCTGTGGGTAAGCTACAGGGTAGGCAGCAAAGAGCAGTGCAGAACAATGCATTTATATACTGTACTATCTACCAACCCGCACTGACCAGCATGGTGAAGTATGGTCAAATAACCCCTACAACCTGCACACTGTGGGAAGTCCCTCATCCAATAGCGGATTGGCCAAATACAAAATAGATGTACGTGGCTCATGCGTATCAAATATGGGCGCTGTACTTGTGTAAGCTTGTTACTGCCAGTACACAGACGTGTCTTTGATTGTGAAATGTATTTCTGTAAGACCTTTTGTAAGGAGACGCGCATGCCTCCGTGTGCCTTAATCCGCACACGACGCTTGAGTCTGTGTGCAGTTCTTTCTGCGTGTGCCCACGTCCCTGTGGGAGTCCCTTAGGGGGGACCCTGGTGGGGGACCCTGCACAATTTTTTTTCATCGCAGCGATGATTTTCAGAATCGTTATGTAAGCGGGTGGTGGCCTTGTGCAGCATGTGGCCAAACTATACTTTACTGATATTTCTTTTCACAGCAATACTTAACAGCGTATATGTAGCACGCTTTGTTGCCTGCCTTTTGAAGCGGCTGATTTTCACGAGCCACAAAGTGTGCAGCAGCAGATTAAAGGGGGGGGGGGCCCTCCTCGTTTGTTACCAGTACTTGTGCGTGGCTCATGTCGTGGTGTCTGTGTTTTTTTGACGTCGGTGCCTTGCAGGGCGCCACCAGGGAACCCCCATGCTGCTGGAAGGAGTGAAATGCGTGGGCATGGAGGCCGAGTACGACTCGGAGCAAAGCGACTGGCACGGATTTGACTGAGTGGCAGCTCGCGACGGGGTTTGCTGGGTCTAGGGGTTGCTGGGAGAGAGCAGCTAGGGGGAGTTTTCGGGGGCGGGGGGGGAGATGCAAAGCAGCAGATGGTGTGCATCTGGGGCGTTCTACCACCTACAACTGTCGCAGCTTGTTTCAACGCTGAACCATCAGTCTCATCTTGTTGTCAAAGCAGGTCGGCCACGCTTTCTTTGAAAAACCGCACCTGTTTTTTTTTTAGGGCTCGTAACAGCAGGCGTTGACCTAATTAGGTCATATCACTAACAACTGGGTGGGTGATGTTAATAGATTTGTTTTTTTTTTATCGTTTAACAATAAACGGGGACATTTAATTCATATTAACATTTAGCAGAAATATTCGAGTCTACATGTCCTGGCCATTTTCAAATGATTGTAACTCCGAAATGTGTGGCACTACTTAATTGTTTTAAAATAAAACATTTGAGCCAGTTTGCCGTGCTTGAGTTGGCCTTCCCCTGGTCTGCTCTCTTTAAAAAAACTTGCCTCGGATCAATGTCGAGTCTGCTCATCGGTCCAATTGAATATTACTCCACAAATCAAGACATGACATTTACACGTGCCGGTGGGGTGAGAATTGGTGTTGTTTTGAACGTGCGTCCGTTTTACTTGGTGAAAGTAGCGACTTACTGTTGGGGTAAAGTTGAAATTGCCACTTACCAGTTTACACACATAGGGCCTCTCCTCTTGAGGAACATTGTTGGCTACTAATGTGTGCGGCGTGTGTAAGTTGTTTCTGTTTTTACTGCCATGGAAATGTATCTTATTGATATATATTATTCATCGCACTTTCCAAGAAATCGTTTTTTATCGGTTCCAAGATGGCCTATTTAGGCTGTAGAACACTGGGCACAGGAGACTCTCAACCATCCTCTCGAAATGCCTTGAATTAACCAATTTCAGTAATTCATTTCTGTCGTGAAATTTTGTTTTTGCTATTTTAAAGAAAAAATATTTGTCGCAACCGCTCTATTTGAGCAGTGTGTGCATGCACATTGAATGGTATTTGTTTTTAGTTTGGATTTCCCCCCCCCCCCCCACACACATGTGCATAACGTTTGATATATGTTCTGCTAAAAGAACCTACCCACACTCCCATCTGCCAAGTCGCGATGCCACATCCCTCACCTAAAGAAGTTCAACATCCATGCATGGGGTACGTCTTTCAGATGACAAGGCAAATGGCATGCTCTTTTGACTTCTTCAAAAAGAAAAAACCTCGACCATCACTGTTGGCTTTAAAGAGTAGCTCGGCGGCCTTGTGCATTCAAACAATTAGCCAGCAAGGATTTGACCCAAAAGGTCCAAAGCTTTATAATTGCATATACAACCTTGTTTTGTGTATTTAGGCCAAATGAATTGCATTGCACTGCTGAAATCACTTGCCTTAAAGTAGTCTGTTTCCCGTCCATCTATACTATGCTATTGTCTTTAAAAAAAAAATTATTGTTGTACGTCCGATTGCTATTCCTCAGGGTTACAACAAACATTGCTATGTGGGTGTGAAGATGCATTTAGATAACATTTGCATTCATGTCAACTCAAAAATTTCAGTTTTATTGGCAAAGCAGTTCTGGCTAGAGTTCAACCCTTTCAGTTAACGGCACATTGTGGTTCCAATTTTGCAACCCCATGAAGGGTGTGCTTGGCTGTCCGCTTTGTTGGCTGCAACAAACCGCTTGCGTCGTCGAGGTTCCGCGCACGCGTTGGTTGTGTGGTAATGGGCTGCGGTCACGTGCTGTAAGAATTCGTTCACTCGTTTTGCTGAATGTTACCGCTAATAAATGTCCTGACTTGAAAGCTCTATTTGGTGACTTCTTCCTCGAGTAGAATGTGTTTTCATCATCACTCGCTTTATGTAAGCATGTATCGAATCATTTAATAAAGTAGTTTACAGCAGAAGGCCAATAATTATAATCAATCATGCAATATAATCGGTGAATACCTGTAATTTGCCGATTATTATTGGCAGTTCGTGACTGCATCTGTCACCCGCGACAGATTGAAAACGTCTTCTTGGTTCTTTCGGTAAAGTCACGTAGAATGGAAATAATAAAATAATAAATATAAAACATAATAAAATAATTCTCACGACGTTTCGGCCACAACGCAAGCAGCCGTCCTCAGGTGGAGAACAGGTCTGTCGAGAATTCGGTTAATATGATTTGGTGATACTTAATTGGCAGTAGTGCTCAAGCAAAAAAAAACTGAACGCCTTAACATATTCGGAAATGATACAGTTAGAGACAGTTGTGCGTAATAAATGAACACTTCATGAGGACAGCAGGTTTCCATTGTCAGTATTTTTATTTCTATTGTTTCAATTGCTACACAAAATAAGCAAAAAACATATAAACACTAATGCTCATTTTTTCAAATTACCACCAACTTGTCGACATAAAATACAAGGCGTTGCTCGTTAAAATATATAGTCAACGTATATGCAATTTTTTGATACAATGTTAGAGTTAGCTTTTGAAACGTATAAAAATAGTAGAGAAACTTTACACTTTGATAAATGGCACTATACAGACGGCGCTATCACACTTCGGGGCCGTCCATAAATGACGTCACGCGATTTTGGACGATTTTTGACCCCCCCCCCCTCGTCACACGGCGTCACAAAAAGTCAGACCCCCCCTCAAATATAACGTCACAAAGCTCTGCCCCCCCCCTAATATTAAACATGCTTCAAATCGCTTTAAACTATTGTCATTGTAGTGCGTATTTAAAGTGGCGCTGCACTCTGATGTTGTAGGAGAAAACATGTATTAAAAAGTCTATTTAATTAAGTAGAACGTGTTGTCTATTTAAAGTTGCGCATTTTGATGTGACGTCACATTTCTCAAACCTTCCCCTCCCCTCGTCACACATCGTCACAAATGTCTGACCCCCCCCCCGTCCCCTAGGTGCATGACGTCATTTATGGACGGCCCATTAGTCACTGGGCTCACAGCCTTGACGTGGCAAAGAAGACGTTTGTGAGGCCGAGTGGCATTGTGTGTCGCTGAGGTTTTTGTAAAATGAGGTTGCGTGCAGAATTATTGAGTCTGGGATGAGAAGGGGGGTGGGGGGGGGGGGGTCGTGGTGGGGTGGAGTGGCTTACCACAATTACACGGTGACAAGTGGCTAAGCACAACTGGGGAAATCGCGCGACGTCAAATCACACCTCTCTGCACCCTCCCAGAGCAAGTACTTGGCTCATCACTCACGTTCCACTCGGCTCCTTCACAACCCAAGGTGTTGTGTGATCAATATCGCTTCGGTTACGGCAGATGGCTCTGCCTGTGCCTTCTCATCGTCTCGTTGTTTCAAGCTGTGCGACTCGCCCCCCCCCCCCCCTTTTAGCCCTTGCTAAAATAACACTGGTCAACAACAAAAAAACTATTTCTGGCCTGGACTTTTGCAGCTGTTTTAGACTAATTTCAGGGTGCTGATTCCAAATCTGATCTCAGATTTGCTCTATCACATCTCAATTTTATGCTATCGGCATACCCCATTTTCATTTATTTTACCCGAAATTAACTCTGTCACTTATGAGTGCAAGTTGTTGCGAGTCAATGACTGCTTTAGTGTTAAAATATGGTGCTGTATTTTTAGGATAGTGTGTTTATAATATCATTTTATGTAGATATCCACATTTATTTAATCTTTTTCTTCTGCAGTTTTTATTGAAAATGCAATATTTGATATCTCAAAAACCTGATGTGATATACAAAAACTGATGCCAGATTTGGAATCAGCACCCCAAAAATTACATTAAAACCGTTGGAATACCTTATGCCAGAAAAAGTGTGTTGACCAGTGTAATCGTGTTGCAGCCATTTCGTCAATCTCCACTGCTGAACGAAGGCTTCCCCTGTCGCCTCGTTTGTCTATCGGGGTTATTTGACCAAACATCACCCGCGATGGTCAGCGCAGATGTTCAGATATCGAACTCGGGACTCCGAGTTGGTAGCGCAGTGCTTCAACCGCTGTCGCCACTGCTGCACCACCCACCATCCTTGCCAACTCTACCCGAAATGAATCTGTGATCGCTTTAAAATGAAACATGGCATTCCATACACCATCACCATCGTGCAAGTTCAAGCCTTTAGTTTTATCAAACAATGGCCTTGCTTTGAACGCTGTGCCAAGATTGTCCACGCGTATCGCCATTGGCCACATTTTTAATTGCCTACTGTCTGCTTATAGCAATGATTGATCCTCTTGACAATGGCCAATTAAATTCACACGTAGAGAACCGTCATCTCTTGCGGGAAACTTCCCACACAAGGCATGATAGAGAGTGATCAGGCATTGCATGGGAAAAACCACGGATACGAATCTATCCCGGCTGAAACTAAAGTCTGGTTTTAATGAAGCGTTCGTTTTATTTTGTAATTAATTCCTCAAACGATATACAGCCCTTTGTCAAACCGCTGTTGGACGAAGGCATCCACAAGCTTTTGGGGTTGTTTGACTAGACTCGGATGTCCAGGTCTGGTTCAGGTCTGGTTCATATATCTCTCGTCGCTGATGTCAGTCTTGGCTGGGAATCGAACTCAGGTCTCCCGCTGCATAGTCTGTGCGCAAAACCACTGCGCCACTGGTCCACCCCCTCCGACGATACGTTGTTTTATTTATAAAGAACAATCTTGAGCCACGTCTGATCATGGCTGTTTGATACCAGTGTGTTACTTGATATATATTTTTTATGTATATTGTAAAATGAAAAAGCCCTTCATACATACAGCACTTGCGTTTAAAGAAGACACAATACATACTCAACAATTAGCTTTTATAGAAACGTAGTTTATAATAATATTTTAAATGTACTGTCAAGCTCACTACTATGGCATTCTAATGATGCCACTTTCCTAAAAACAAATGAAATACTTGAAAGTATTGTATTCACTACGAGAGCTGCAGGCTCATGTGAGACAGCCTGAGATCACACAGCCGATGTATCTACAAGTTGAGAAAAATGTTCTTCTTTTCAACGCTTTCCAACTAACGTTGAAAGTGTTCATGCGGTAACTCCACCTGTCCATCCATCCGCAACAGGGGACACGATAACTCTCATTAAGACGATCCAGTCAGTATAAACAAATCCATAGTATAAACTTGCGTTGCTATCAGACATTTACCCCATCGAAAACCAGCCAAATTGATCCTACGGTTGCCCAAAGCTTGAAGACACAATCCGTATATAAAAACCCGACTTTCTGCAAATACACACTCGCATTTCGCCCTGACGGCTAGCTTCCCGTCGGCTTCTACACCGCTAACGAAACACCCCCTACGACGACACCACGCGCGCGTGCCGGAGAGCCGCGAGCGACACAATCCGTGCGCGCGATTCTCCCCCCCCCCGACCCCCTGGGCTGGGCACCCACGGTCGACGCGTTGGTGGTGGGTGGTGGTGGGGGAGGTGGTGGCCTCAGACGCTGAGGAAGTCGACGCTGGACTTGACGCTCTTGGCGCTGCGCACGTCCACGGCGGTGACGCGCACCTCGGTGTCCCCGAACAGCATGTGGGTCTGGATCTCACGGCGGCGGCGGGGGGGGGCCTGGCCCGGGGTCGTGGCGCTCTCCGCGCCCAGGTCGAGGCACAGCGTGCCGCACTTGTGCACGCCCTCGTCCGTGATGAACCGCGCCTGTGTGGCGGAGACGGGCACCGATTTCGCTTTTGTCATCGTCGTCGTTGTCAGCCGACGCGTTCTTACGACACGCAATTCTGGCAAAGTTCGCCCGATGAAGCTGGTTTGTAAGCACCGGAGAAATGTTGTAAAACGTCGAACTAAAATTGTAAATGTTGTGGGTTTACCCTCCAACGCACCGGTGGTGCTGAAGTGACGAAACTTACTAATTGGCTGTGTCAGATTAGTGGTGGGCTAAAAAAAACATTTATATTGACGCGACCTAACCCAAATTTAGTTTTATCATTGTTATTCTGGCAGGATCGCTTGCCTCGCAGAGAGTAAGGAGATTGAGTTGTTTGTGCAACTTCTATTGATCGCCAACATCACCCATAATCTATCAACTGCTGGACAAAGGGCCCCTCCCCAGGGTGTCGCAATGCAATAATCGATCTTGCTGCTACACAACAGCTGATTTCGGCGTTCCTTCTCCGTGGTGTACGTTCTCTCTCTCTCTCGGGCACGCTCCCTCTGACAGCCTGCCACTCCGTGGTTAGTCTCGCCTTGACGTGTCCTGCCCAAGGCCACTTATTTTAAGTCAATTCCATTCCTTAGCCTGCACATATTTACACATAGAACAAGTAACCAAACGTAAACATTTACCAAAATCCCCCTGAATGGACCGGATCTGGGAATGTAAGCAGGATTAACTTTGGTTAGTACTCGGTTGGGAGACTCAGATTTTTTAAGTGTGACCCCCTCGCTTCATGTATGGGTTTTCTCTGGATGCGTCGATCTCCTCCCAAAGTGCCAAGCTCGATTATCGGGACTTGGTGGAACAACCCAATGCTGCAGGGTCCTCCTGACGAAGAGTCACGAGGCTCCGTGGGGCTTTCCTCGGTGAAGAGCATTCGTCTTATTACATTCCAAAGATTCACATTTGTTTACATTACCTTGTACATTGCCTTTCCGTTATTTTATTCTAACCCAGGTCTCCAAAAAGACACTTTTAGTCTCAACTGCTTATACATTTAACTTTGATGATTTCTGATAACGACGAGGAATGTCGACTATCTTGTCGTGGTAGTTTTAGTCGACCCGCACTGACCTGCACGGTCTGGGGGAGGCGACGCATCCAGCAGTGGAGTGACGCAAGGGGCTGCACGTGTACGCGACAGTGTTTTGAGTAATTGTCCAGATTTTGCCTTGGCGGAGCAACGTGTACGCTGTAACCTCTTACGTATGGTGTGATGAGAACATAAACGTGCGCGTGCATGTTGCTGTTTGATCATCGCAGTGTTTATGAATGCTGGACGTGTAACCGCTGAAGCTTTGCAATCCAATGCCTTATTGGCAATTCTGTTTACGACTCCACATTCACCGTGAAAAAGACCTGTGAACTAACCTCGCGAATGCTGTTTAATTGCTCTCAAATGGCATCTGGTGCGCATTGACGGATAACATGAATGTCTTATCTGATCTCCCGTGCATCTGTCAAGTCGTCGCAGCTCGGCACGATGTGGAAGCATGTCGGATGCGCGATCCAGTCGCCTGGAATGTGCCCATTTCTCAGGAGCTAAGCAGGGTTGAGCCTGGACAGTGCTTGGATGGGTGACCGGCATGCACAAGCAGGTTGTCATAGGTCTGTGGGGCTACGTGGTGGGGCAGCACAGAGCAGTGCAGCACTGTGCTACGCTCCCACATCTGAGTTTTCAACACTTTCACCGACCCACGAAGGCCAGCATGAGGTATGGTCAAATACCAACCACTGACTTCTATGACGTGGCGAGGCCATCGTCCAGCAGTGGATTAATACAAAGTGAAGAGACGAAGGAAGAGAGTGAGGAGGAGAGGCAAAAAGAGAACGTGAGGTACAGAGAAAGAGCGTGAGAGAGATTGAGACAGAGGGGGAGACAAGAGGTAGAGGGTGAGGAGGAGAGACAAAGGGAAGAGGTCGAGAGAGGTAAAGAGAGAGAGAGAGGAGTGAGGGACCAGGTTCCGGAGGGAGGCAGGGACCTCGTCGTTGGACGAGCAGTAGACGTTGATGATGATCTTGGTCTGCGCGAGGCGCGCCGGCGTGTAGCTGCGCGTCACCGTCTCGCCCAGCGACACCGACTGGTCGGCGCTCACGAAGCGGTCGAACACGTCGGTGCACCAGCGGGCGCCGTCCTTCACCAGCAGCTTCTCCTCGGGGTGCTTGCTCTCGACAAACCTGCGGGGCAACGGATCAGCCGGACGTCCCCCTCAACGGCCCGGTCAAGTCTTTGCAGTCACCAGGAGGGCCAAAAAAAGGTTTTTGGTGGCCCGGTGAGAATTGACAGCTAAGGCCCCCCCCCTTGCCCGTCTTCTCTGAGGCCCCTTCCGAATCTGAGGCCCCGGGGTTAACTCATCCACCGATAAACTATCTGTATTTGACCACGGAAAAGCCCACTGAGCTATACAGATCTTTTTCAGAAGTGACCCGGGCACAAATGATAGCTCAACGAAGTGGCTTATCATGTGGACATGTATCTCAGACAAATAATGTAAACGCATGTTTATAAATGTGAAAGGAAAACGAGAGGACCCAGGGAAAAAATCCACGCGACAATGGGGACAACACGCAAACTCCAAATATACAGCAGGCGTCAGGGTCGGGATCGAACCCACAACCTCCTGTATACCAGGTGAGGTAGTTCACATTTCTCCACCATGCTCCACCACCCCCCACCCCCCACCCCCCACGACCCTTCCAACTCTGCTGCCCTAATTCTAGATTTGAAGCTTTCGTCACTGCAAGGATTCATACTCTTAGGTTGCTTCGGTAAAGTCATGTAGGTAAAAAAAAAAATAATAATAATAAAAAAATGAAAATAAATCAATAGAATCACGACGTTTCGGAGGCAGCACAAGTCTCCGTCTTCAGGTGGGACCGTCACAGCTAAATTTACTGTATCAAGTGAGGAGAAATCCAAGATTTCGGCTGCCTTACCAGTCAACTTTGCCTATCGTGGATCTTGGCCATCTATTAAATTGCCAAGGACTCTGAGCAACGTTGCTACTTTCAACGAGAACTGGGATGAGGCCATATGCAGAGGTTATCGCAGATCAACACAGCTGAGCCCAGCTGCCACTGACTCACTCCTTATATGGCTTATTATTCCTAAGCACAAAACATATATATACGGTACTGTAGTTCCATTCATGAAATGTGTACGTTTGTACACGTGCTGTAGTTGTATGTGCAAGAGAGTCGGTGAGCTAATGGAAGAGGGCACATAGTCCTATTGCTACCGGTGAGTGTAAGAGCAATTGAGCTAAATTGCATGGCTCAATGTTTGAAGTTTTATGGAAAACACTGCGGGCAGAAGTGAGAGATTGCACAGTGGCACGGGCCAATTATGAACTGGATCTGGTTAGGATTTAAATAATTTTGATTAAACAGCTCTTGGGATCTCACACCTCGTCAATAACGCTTCTGCTTTTTGTGTTTAGTTTGTTGTCCTTCCCCCGCACCTCCAATTAGCAACGGTTGGCTACGTACGGTGCGAAAGAAGTTCACCATGAATACTTACGTTCGTTAGTGGAAAACTATATAGCAATAAAAAAAATGGATTTACAACATGTGTATGCATATATCTGACGTTTCGTATATTTGTATTACATTATACATTACTTTGTGATTGATATCTGAATCTGTCCTGACCAAGCACTTCAGCTGCACTCACCAGGGTGGTGAAGTATTATAAAAAACAACCCACAGGGCCGATACTGTATGGTGAGGCCTTCAACCAGCTGATGATTGGCAAAGGGCTGTGATTGTTTTCCGTATATGTGTTGGTAAAAAAATATTTAAAGATAAACAGTTTTGCCAAAACCATGCCGGCCTTGTAGGAAAAGTGACACAGAATGCAACAAAGCAATGAGCACTCAGTGTTGTGGTTGAAACTATTTGAAATTCATTTCCATCAGAATACAAGCAGATGGTTTCGCAGGTTGCGATGCTGCCAAGTTTGCCCTGGCTTACAATAAAGGGGAGGCGGTCATTACATCCTGTGGCTATATTCTTTTTGTTAAAGAAAAAAAAATTGTCAACAAACTCAAGAGTCTGGTGTTTACTCCAGCTCACGACACAGTCCCCGACAATCACAATTTTTCATTCCGCTCGGGCACCCCCTTGGAAACAGCTGAGCAAATAAACCCCCTGGGCGATTCATAGCCTGGGCTGCATTGCGTATTGATTTGAATCAAAAAGACAAATGGACGTCTGCACAGTCAGTCTGAGCAGGGATCATGAGTGGATCAGAACGGGTTACGTTTTAAACTTAATCCTGCACTCCCCCAATTAGGCTCTCAAATTGTACGGAGTCAACCTCTCAGAGGTCAATTATCGCATCATCAGTCGCCAACTCGAAGCAGTACGTATTGACGCGACAGGAAGCATGGAGCGCAACTCAATGAAATGCATTTTTTTTTACCGATTTATTGCACGTTGCAATTATTCCAATTTCCTTCTGGGGGATGGAGACAAAATGATTATTTTACATTTCTGCTAAATTTAGTAATTGGCATCCTGAGTTTTTTTTTTTATTACGTTTTCATGCGCCGTTGCCGGACCCCTTACCTGCACCCATAATCGAGACCGCATCGCAACAATACTCAAATCCCACAGCTGCCTCCCAATTAAAACTCAGGTCATGTTCAAGGTCGCACTCTCCGTCTTCAAGATGCCTCCATGCACTCCCCCCCTCCCCGTATCCTTACCTCCCTCCTCTCAACTCGCTCCACTCTCCCTCCAAGCACTCTCTCTCTCTCTGCTCAAGCAACCAAGGCTTTATGTCGAAGTCCCCAGACGACCTTCGCTCAGTGGAAGGTCGCTCGCTCTCCTCTGCTGCCTTTTCGTCTGCCACTGCCGTCCCACAGACATTCGTGCTGTTGACTCCCTGCCCCTGTTCAAAACCAGGCTCGAGACCGAACTTGTTTGTTTGATTGACTGCCCCTCTCTAAAAAATAAACGCGTCCATTTTTCTTGTCTGTACAGCTTCTCTGAGCTGCGGCTACATTTTGTCGTTTTATAAATCCAAAATGTATTTTGTCGTTAAAGTGAACGTGACATTGGGTTTTTGCCACGGCCCTGTTTAGCTTCAACCCTGACACGTAAGTGCTTTGCACAGCGGTCTTTTTTAAAAAGGAGGTTTCGAAACTCACTCTCTTAGCCACTTCCACAAATGAGTGACATATGTGGAAGGAAACCGGATTAGCTAGAGAAACCCCTGCGCAGAGATAGGTTCAAGGATCCATTGCCGCATTGCACTTCTACTTGGCCACACCGCAACTAGATCCTGCATCACCAGACTTCTCCCGGCAGTCTCCCATCCAACTCGTCAGCAGGCCCAGCCCTGCTTCTCTCACGCTCGTTCGGGGTGATTTGATCATCAAGGAGATGTTCGTGCAAACTTAAATTGCTTGCAACAGTAATTTCACAAATCCTCTTCTGCAAATGTTAAGTCGCGTCTGACAATCGTTGGTCAGTTGATCGGCGGCATGTGGCGTATTTTGCATTTAAGTAGGATTTAACACGGAGGCTTTCGCGACCAGTATTATCCATAATAGAGGTTTTTGGGTTAGATCTCTTAAACACAAATGCGTCGTGAAACCCGCCACCACCCAACGCAGCCAATTAATAAAGTTTGCCACGTAAACAAAACGTGCCAATTAGTTACTAGTTCAGCACACCGCTTGTGTGTTGGAGAGGCAACCCGCAGCATTTCAAGCAGGATTCCGGAGTCATCTATTTCAGGTGACGTTGCTGACCACAGGCGACTCCGATGCACGCGCTGAATAATATTCCGTTTTAACACGCGTGGGGGATTTTGGAATCCGCTTGTAATCCAAGTGTGCTTTGAAGATGCTCGCAGTGGCGCGTGGCAACAGCCTGGGAAAATAAATGCTGAACCTGCAGCCTAACCCAGAAAAATGCACCTTGGATGCCCTATTTTATTGTCAGCCGTTGCAAGGTGTCACCAACTGTACACAACAACCAGGCAATTTTGTGGCTTTGCTTCTGTTTAATGCCCGAGCCAATCATCGATTTCTGTAAATGCACATTTGAAGTAGCAGCAGCACCGGCCACTATGCGCAGGTCTGAACTTCAGTCGAGTCTGCCAGAGCTCATCAATCCAGAAAATACTTCCGCACCCAGAACACCACATCCAGTATACGTCTTGCTATGGCTGTGGTTACTAATAGTCGCGTGCCACCTACTGCAGTCTCCCAGCAACCCGGGAAAATACTCGGTGAGAAATGAAGCCCCGATCGTTCAGTGTCCACTACGAGTTCTACCGACCCGGCGGAACAAATTCCAAAACGCGTGGAAAAAACACTCCGCTCGCTCCGGCTGTGGTCGCGCGAGCCACGGTTCGATCGGCGACGGCCGTGCCAGAACCCGGACCCCGGGGCCCACCCCGCTCGCGGCGTACCGGTTGAGAACGCCGACCCCGTACGCCACGGCCGAGCGTCGAACCCGCACCACCGTGGGGTCGAGGCCAAAGAGCACGGCGCCCTTGAGAATGGCGAGGCCCACGCCGTGCGGCACGATCACGCGGCACTCCGGCGCGAACGCCTCCTGCACGGCGCGCTGGAGCAGGCGCGACTCGGCGAAGCCGCCCACCAGGAACAGGATCTTCACGCCCTCGACGCCCGGCCTGGAGAGCACGTCGCCTGGGGGGTCACCGCACCGCACCACACGCACGCACGCACCAGCATGTCCACCGGCAGAACCAGCAGCAGTAGCAGCAGCAGCAGCAGCCAGCAACACTGCTGTAACCATCACCAACAACATCACTGCCATAATCATTGCAACCATTAGCACTGTCGCATCAATGCTTAACATCCGCCTTTCAGCTCTTGGCTGCTACGTGAGCACAAACTGGATTATCACTTACACCCGGTTTGATGGTCTTAACCAAAGCCTGTGAAAAGACGCATCACATCCGTGGTGCAGCTATTGAGTGTGCAGGCGGTGCACCTGCACCGAGGCCCATGGGCTGGTAGAGCCAAGGCCTCGAGCTACGAAAAGAAGGTGAAATTGGACAGGGGGTCCCCCCGTGTCATTTCTTGCACCAGGGCCCATCCCAACCACGCGACGCCACCACATGATGGACAATTTGTTCTTGCATTTGAATTCACCTTTTACATCTCTCGGGGACTGTTTGATAGAAATGACACGAAGCAGACAGCTCACCCACTCACTCCTCACCCGCGAGGTTTAAAGGTCCCAGTGCTGGAGTCGTCACCACCACCACCACCATCGCCACCACCGCCACCACCACCTACCTATGCACTGCACGATCTTCTGGATGGTCGGCTGGAAGAGGTCGTTCATGGCCTCGGCGCTTAATCTCAGCATGCCCTGGGACGACCACTTCACGAACTCAACCCTGGTACGTAGAAATGATTGAGTAGGCGTTAGAACGAGTTTCAAAAAGTGTACTGTTATTTCAATGTTATAAGCAAGTGGAAAATAAGCATTTCACTTTATAGTTATTCACGTATTTTAATTCCACAACCCTGGTTTGTCTTGATTTCACGTTTAGCCCCACCTAAAATCTAATTTACCCTCCAGTTCCTACCACAGGTGCTTACTTGCACCTAGACCCAACTGTTTCTGACACCACTTGCTCTCACAATACGTTGCTCTCTCTTTGTTTCCCGATTCGCGTGTGTTCACGTCTCTTGATTAGACGAGAATACGGAGCTTGCTTGCACATGTGTCTCACCTTTTTTCTGCGCCTCTTGTTTGTTTTTTTGTTTTATTTCTCGGAGAATTGCTACGCAGCTCAACAGTGAGTACACGTTGCAGCGCACTGTGCAGATACGGCACGTTGAGTTTTTAGTTTGTATTCGACACGTGTAGATTTCAAAGTGTTTGGAAAAATGTAATTTCATACAACGTGCGCTTTAAATACTATTTACTTGTGCAAGGGTTTACAGGGTTTTCTTTATATTTGGATCATTTGCAGCTCGTCGGACTTTTCAGTGAACCGAACCAGCGCTGACCTGTAAGTCCAGATGACGATGACCATGATGACGACTGTGATGACGAACACGACAACAATGATAATGATGATGGCGGCCGTGATGATGATGATGCTGCTGCTGGTAACAATGCTTTTATTTTGCCAACAATGAAGATGGTGATGTCGATGACAACACTGGCAATGGCACTGACGGCGACGTCAACGGTGCGGAAACGATCGCTTGTGCGAAATGGTCGCGCGGCGACGCAAAGCATCGAAGAGGCCCCTGGCTCGCTCACCCGCTCTTGCGAAGGGCGGTCTCCACGCTGTGGCCGCGCACCTTCTTGTAGTAGTCCACGAAGGAGAAGGGCAGCGAGATGTTGAGCGGGCCTGCCCGGCCCGGCGCCGCCGTGCGCTTGCGCGACTCGAAGGCGATCGTCAGGTCCACCCAGGCGGCCGGGCGGTTCCGCCGGAACTGCACGATGAACTCGGCGCTGAAGATCCGGCCCAGCAGCCGCTCGAAGGCCTGGTCCACGGCCAGAGAGCCGTAAGGCCCACCTGCGCCCGTAACGCACGCGGCGCGTCACGCACAACCGCAGGACGAAGGCCTCCGCCGTGCCGGTTGAAGCGGGCGGTGTGGCGGGGGGTGGGGGGGGATGCCTGGGATCGGGTTTTGGTACCGCTCGAACCGCTCACGTTCGTCGTGGTGAGGGATTTAACTCGGGTGGTCGCGGTTACGGTGGCAGGGAGTGAATCGCTGCTCCCATTAATTCACTGTGTAAAAAAAAAAATGTTCCTGGGTAGTAAGTGTTATTTCCTAATTGCTTATGCCTCAAAAGTACAGATGATGGCTATTACTCCCCACACACTTTGCTTTTGTGACCAATTAGAAAACGTGTGGATTTGTGTCTTTCGTTCACGTAAAGTCCTGGTCACAAAAGTAAAGTTTGTGGGGAACAATAGCCTTCATTATGAATAGCCATTTTCTATACTTTTTAGGCATAAGCAATACAAAAATAACACTTAGTACCCAGGGACAAAAATTGTGTTACATAGTGAATTGTTTCACCACGGGCTGTGTGTGCCCCAAAGATGCCTTCATAGCCACACACGCTGCGAGTAGCTATGAAGGTTGGCGTGGCGCATGACAGGAGCGTGTGCTCAGAAGCACACCCGGACATCTCAGGATCTGTCCCTGGTGCTGATGTTTACACACCGCACCAGGTACTCATTGAAGTCAACTTACGGGACCCCCCCAGACTGGTTCAGATACCACTCACCTTCTTGGTTCTTTCGGTAAAGTCACGTAGAAGGGAAATAATAAAATAAAACATAATAAAATACAATTCTCACGACGTTTCGGCCACAACGCAAGCAGCCGTCCTCAGGTGAAGAACAGGTCTGTCGGCAAGACAGCGTCTTCTATTATTTTATTATTTCCCTTCTACGCGACTTTACCGAAAGAACCAAGAAGATGAATCCCTGCAGTCACGAAAGCTTTAAATCCAAATACCACTCTCCGTTAAAGTTAACTACACCTAGGAATCAAACTCAAGTCGCCTGATTCCAAGCGTAGTGGGCTAACCACTGCGCCACTACTCATAACTCGCACGCATACACCTTCGCACATCCACATACTCGCACACAGGGACCCGTTTCAACCAAAAGCTGCATAAGCTTGGCGATAGAATGACACTTGAGTGGCGACAATTGACGAAAGAGCGGAGAGAGAGTGACGAGAGTTGGGGAAACATTTGGAGAGACAAGTTAGCAAGATTTCGTGAGAGTTTTTGGCGAGAGGGTGAGTGGTGGCAAGTGTAGTGAGATTTAGCGAGGGGGTGGTGAGGTTTGGCAAGAGAATGGCCAGCGTCGGTGAGAGAGGGTGGCAAGCTTTCACAAGAGGAGGGTAACAGTCGGCGTGACATTTGGCAAGAAGAGTGCCAAGGCAGTGCCGGGTGAGAGTGCTAATCTGGGCGCTCTCTCGCCAAAACACATCTCCCACCCAGTGGCGTAGCTAGGATATTTTGCGCCCGGGGACGAACTATAAACTTGGCGCCCCCCCCCCCCCCCCCCGTTTAATCACATACCAAAATGTAATTACATGACATGTAGGCTGTGTGTGGTGGGATATATAAACGCTTAGGTTGAGGTGTACATTTGTGCAGTAGTTTCAGGCTGCCGCGCCCGCCGCAATAAGTTATAATGTGACGTTGTAAGCCTCATTTTGGCGCCCCTTTACCTTGGCGCCCGGGGACACATGTACCCCCCTGCCCCCCCCTAGCTACGCCTCTGCTCCCACCGCCACCCCATCACGCTCCATTTGCGCGGACGTGAGCCCAGGCAGACTCGGCCCTGCTCCCGGGACTCAAGCGCTGGGATGACGGATGGTGGAGCGGGACGGGGATATTTGACAGGGCGCCCCCGTATCATTGCTTGGGCCATGGCCCATGCCATGCAGGCTGCCGTGACTGGCTGGTACCGCCCCGCAGCTCGTTACCTGAGGCCTTGTGCAGCTCCTTGAGTGTGCCCTGTGGGTGCTCGATCTGGTGTACGGTCAAGTCCACGGTGCCGCCACCGCAGTCGGCCACCAGGTACTTGTCCCCTGCGCAAGGGGACGACGGGCCAAGATGCAAAAAAATATAGACTTCATCATACAAATGTAGGGTGGCAGGAGATATTGGGTGGTAAATGTCGTGTAAACATGGATTAATACCAGCCGGGTCTGTCTGGGTTTGGAGACCGAGACGATATTTCCCCACCTGGCATACCACATCGAGTGTTCATCTTGCTTTGGCTGCGGCTACTATGTATGTGTGTTGAACTTCTTTCGCACCGTACGTAGCAACCCGTACTATTCGGAGGTGCAGTGGAATGACAACAAACGAAACACTAAAAGCAGTTCTAAAGAAATATATTTTCAATTTACTAGTCACATGTTTACGACGATCATAAACATGTTGACGAACATGTTGAACTTCTTTCGCACCGTACATAGCCAACCGTGCTAATCGGAGGTACGGATGATGACGATGATGACGAAGACAACGGATGATGATTATTGATGATGAATGACGATTGATATTGCTGACGACGGTGATGAGACACGTGTTTGAGAAACTCTGCTGGATATGTTCGAGATGAGCAGTGGTGATGGAGACGTGGGGGGGTTAGCGGGGGGGATGGGGCAGGGAGGGGGGGCCGCACCAGCTTGCAGCTCTGACCACAGCTCCCCGACGCTGCTCTCCACGACGAAGGTTGCTTTCTGGCTGTGTCGGGAGCGGCGCGGCACGTCCCAACCTGCGGGCAGAAGGGAGAATGATCGCAACGGTGGCACAGGCCGATCGATTGTGAAGCAGAGGTCGCAACCGGGTACCCGATACCCGTACCCTACCCGATACCCGGCTACCCGTACCCGCCCGGGTACCCGTTTGCGACCCTGGTGCGGCCGGGTACGGGTAGGCCGTGAGTCACTGGTGAGTCACCGTTTGTCACTCATTTCCCAACGTCTTGTCTCTTCTCACAATTCAAGTTACTAGAATCAACCCACCCGCGCCTGCAACATGGCTTCATCCCTGAGATCGCAATCGGGTACCCGATACCCGTACCCTACCCGTACCCGGCCGGGTACGGGTAGCCGGGTATCGGGTAGGGTACGGGTACCCATTTGCGACCCTGGTGCGGCCGGGTACGGGTACGGGTAAGGAATCAAAACCCGTTTGCGACCTCTGTTGTGAAGTGGATCTGGTTACGATTTCAATCATTTCGACGAAATAGCTGGTGGTATCTCACGGCTCGTGGGTAACGTGTTGTGATTGGCTTTCGTCGCTCCTGTTTAACACGAGTTATTCAGACGGTAGTGGTACACGTAAGGGGCCGTCCATAAATGACGTCACGCGATTTGGACGATTTATTAAATCCCCCCCCCTTCGTCACACGGCGTCACAAAAAGTCAGACACCCCCCCCCCACAAATATGACGTCACAAAGCTCTGCCCCCCCCTTGCCCCCCCCAAAATAAAATATGCTTAAAATCGCTTTAAACTATTGTCATTGTAGTGCGTATTTAATGTGGCGCTGCACTCTGATGTTGTAGGAGAAAACATGTATTAAAAAGTCTATTTAATTAAGTAGAACGCGTTGTCTATATTTATTTAAAGTTGCGCATTTTGATGCGACGTCACATTTCTCAAACCCCCCCCCCCCTCGTCACACATCGTCACAAATGTCTGCCCCCCCCCCCCTCCCAGGTGCGTGACGTCATTTATGGACGGCTCCTAATGATGATTTTTGTTACCCATTTAGCGACGTGTCTTGCACAAGCCCATTTTTCTGAACGGTCACTAAAATGGGTGCATTAAATTCCCTCTCCAATCCACGCGTTTCTCCGTCTCTGGGTGTAATTCCAAGCGTGTACCTCTCCACGCTTTATTTGCGCACTCTTCAACGTTTTTCCCCTTTCCGAATTCTGGGGCAACATTTACGCCTCTGCGTATTTACCAGCTTGCGTGTGATGGCGTGCAGCTGACAGCAGGTGGCAGACTAACACCACCTACAGCAAAATCCAGGCCTGAGCAACGTTCCCGTTCCCTCCCCTTCCCATGTCCCCTCGCCCCAAAGAGTCGGGCACCAGCCATGGCCACACGGGGACACCTTCGCCGCTGCACGGCACTCATCAGTAGTAACACGTGGTACTTTCAAACACACACACATACGCCACCGGGTTTGTAAGCGTTCGACATTTTTGTTGCACCTCCGATTAGCACGGTTGGCTACGTGCATTCATCTTCTTGGTTCTATCGGTAAAGTCACGTCGAAGGGAAGTAATAAAATAATAAAAATAAAACATAATAAAATAATTCTCACGACGTTTCGGCCACAACGCTGCTTGCGTCGTGAGAATTATTTTATTATGTTTTATTTTTATTATTTTATTACTTCCCTTCTACGTGACTTTACCGAAAGAACCAAGAAGATGAATCCCTGCAGTCACGAAAGCTTTAATTCGAAATTTACGTGCATTTAGATTATCATAATCAGCCATGCTTACTCCACTGCTGGATGCAGGCACCCCCCCCCTCCCCCTCGACATTATAGTCGACCTAGCAACTGCACATGACGTCGTCTTGGACCATTCTTGAGGTTGTCACCCCGTTCAGCCATGAATCATCCTGTCTAAGCCCACTCACTTGTATGAACAGAACGATGTCACGAATCCTCTGCACGTTCTCTGATCCATGTGTTCCTCTTTGAGTTCTCCGTGTTATTGCGACCATGCGTCTCCCAATGCGTCTTTGTGCACTTTTATATACTTTTGTTGTTGATCATCTTCCTGAACCGTTTTATCATTGCTAGTCTCTGGACATTTTGTTTTGCCATTGGTAACCCCTATATTAGCATTTTAAAAATAAAAAAATTAACCCGTAAAAACAAAGTTTTTCACTATAAATCCTTTATATGCGTGGCGGCTAGAGTCCTCTCGTCCTCTGGCTTGAGATGGCTGCCACCTTTGAGTCAGATGATTGCCTGGCAGCATTAAGCAATTGGCAATTAAATATTTATTTATTTTTCCCTAAACAGTGTAAATTTTTGGGAAAAAATTTCACGAACATTAATTGTCTCGCACAACGAGTCTGTGTGCAAAATGTCAGCTCGATTGGATCACGGGAAGTGGGTTAAAAAACGACCGAAAGATTTGCACGGTCGTAAGCAAGCACGCAAGCACGCAAGCAAGCAAGCGAACTTAATATAAAGGATTTAAAAATAGCAAATGTGTCTTTAATTTCCCCCATAGTCTATCAGCATGCAATTCCCTGTCGTTCTTACCCCGCGTGTTAATGCTTGAATGTGCAAAAATAAAAACAATTTTATGGAAAAAAATTGCGATGTTCAAGTCGTTTTTCCAACGAAAATGAGCACCCTTGTGACTGGATGCCACTATTCTACCGTTTCCACAGCACAGGTTTTGATTGTTTTTGCCGGACTTCGCTGTGATTTTGCATTAAACGTTGCTGGGCTCTGTGCTATGGGCTATTTGCTTCAGAGACAGCACACATGTCCATTATACTAGATACCTTTTGTGGCTACAGTTAATGCTCTACTTTATAAATAATTGCCTCATTAAAAATTGCTATTTTAAATGTGGTAAAACGAAATAATAAATGTTACCCTTTCCTTTAAATACTTGTGATTGCGTTCACTTGCAAAATAATATTAAATTAAAGCTCTACCGATTTGGAATCTGCGACCCTGCGATTTGGCATTGCTGTGCACCCTCCACTTGGCTATAGAGAAGTGATGATGCCATCACGTGAAGTGTGCACGAGACATCACCGCGGTGTCATGTACCGTATTGTTAAAGTATGGCGCAAAAACATATACACGGGATTTACACCCAGGATGTTCGCTCCAGAATCTGCCGTGCTATCATCCACTACGCTTTTTTTTTTACTTGATACAGCAAGCGTGGCTGTGACGGTTCCACCTGAAGACGGAAGCTTGTGTTGCCTCCGTGACGTCGTGATTTTTATTTTATTTTACTTTCATTAATTTAAAAAAAAAATTACCTACGTGACTTTACCGAAACAACCTAAGAATATATACACTTCACAACCTTGATGAAGGTCGTTGAATGTTCCGGTTATTAAATCATTTTACATGCACATCCTGGTGGTGTCGCTGCGATCCTCCACAGCGTCGACTGCCTTCTTGGATTGGTGGAAAAAAACGTAGCATTCTACTACATTACGTTTCACAACTGTTGCTTTTCCATTCTGGCAAACGAGAGATGATTGCCGTGCCTGTTTTAAATGCATTGTTTCATAATGATTAAATACATATCACCGTTCGCTTTGATTGTTACTTGTAGTTGCGGTTATTTATTTGTGAAATTATATTCGATGAAAAATACAGGATTCGAATCGTTGACCTTATATATCATTAGCAATATCAGCTCTCTGCTCAGTTACAGAGAAGTGATAACATCACAGAGGTTTCCCCACGTGTTAAGTAAGATTCCGACTCGGGTGTTGAACCTGGTGTACCTGACTGAGCTTTACGGAAAAATAAACCACGAACACTCATTGAAATACTCTCCACAAAAACACTCTCCTTATGCTTATATGGAGCGTTGGGGTGGTGCCCCACCTACAAATTTGCTCTTCAACTAGAATTGTTTTCAGTAACTATTTGATCGACAAATGGGATCCATTGAAAAATAATCAATATTTAAGAAATTATTCGTAGAGGGCGTCATCATATGCAAATGCTTGGTCAGAAATCCATTGGCCGATTTGACTGTTAAAGGTGTAGTCTAGGGGGGCGATCTCAGGTTAATTCTGACCAATCACAAGCCATCACTCAGGACTTATTTGCATTTGACCCGCCCTATCCAATTGACCCCTGCACGGACCTTCTCACTGCACGCGGTAAATGCCACCCGGTTCTCCGCTCGTTGTTGTGAGCGTCGCTCCTCTGCCCTCCGTTGTAGTTGGAGGGCGACTGCCTCAGACTGCCCAGTAGCGCCCTTCACGAGCCTCCTCCACCGAGGACGATCTTGACACCACTGGTGCCAGTTATCCGCAAGTCCACTCAGCTACACATCCTCTTGTACCACATCACTCCATCTCGTGCAGGACATTCTAATACCCACAGGTGCACATATACGGGGATTGGCTTTAGATGTGTTTAGCCTTTAGATAATCATAATCAGCCATGATTAATCCACTGATAGATGCAGGCCTCTTTAGGTTGCGACCAACTCTTATGATTCTGCAGTGTAGTCCTCCTATCTTCTGCATACAAATCGATTTTTCATGGCTCCATCTCATTGGACGTCCTACTGGACCCACTCTATTCTTTGGTTGCCACTCTATTTTTGACCATCAGCCATCAACCCATCTAGCCATGACGCGTCCTGTCCAAGCCCACTAACTTTTATGCACGGTTTGGACAATGTCATTAACCTGTGTTCTCTAATCCATGTGTTCCTACTTCTATCTCAGTGCCACGAGGAAGCATGCATCTCCCTGTGCTTCTTTGCAAACTGTTAAGGTTTTCTGTATTTTTCGTTAATGGCGAGGATTCTGAATCACGCGTCATACGTATTTATAATGCATTGATATGTTTACTTTTCATTATCAAATTCAGCTTCCGTTTCTTTTCGTGAAAGCCACAACATTCTGGAATGGTTGACTGTTATGGTTGCCACCTCTGAGGTATACAAAAAAGACCTGGGCAATATTATGGGAAGAATAATAATTCAGTATCAAAAGGGGCAAAGACCGACACGGAGATGATAAAAAGGGAATACTAGGCTTTACCCTTTACAACAATAAAGCAGGTGTTCAGATATCCAAACACCAAATAGACACCTATTGCAAGGCATCCGGTTGCCTAACACTGGTGAGACAAGGGCATAAAGGAGGCTGTTCCTAATATAAGACAATCAGTTTCAAAGACAATGCATATATGATCAAAGCATATTTGTTTGCATGTTTTACCTCAAGCATGTGTGGTTAATACAGACTAAATGCCTTGGAATATGTGTCTATTTGGTGTTTGAACATCTTAAAACCTCCTGTATTATTGCTGAAACGGAGATGCTGGTGTTGACACCCACCCTCGAAGCATCAGCTTCACCTGGAACCAACGCACTGTCAAAAAGAGTCCCATAGACTGACGAAACAACAAAAAAACGAGTCCTTTAAAGTCACGGTAAAAACTTACAGAATCCCTGGGCAGCTACTTCAAAAGAGAGGACAATTCCTGGAAAAAAACACCCCCAAAACAGGTGGCAACCCTACCGTTGGCCCAGCTAGTGACAAGCCTGCCACTGAGGCCGCACGCGCACCATTGGAGAAGCCTGTTGGGGAGGCCGAGTCGCCGTGGCCGTTGGAGACGTGGGTTGAAGCCGCGAGCTCCGTGAGCTGGTTGAGGCGCAACTTGCGGCAGTAGATGGACGCAGCCTCGGGCTCGAGGGCAATGAGAAGGCCCTCGGGGGCCTGTGGGGTCGCTATCCCTGCCTGGCGGGGCAGAGGCACGAACAAAGAAAGAATGAAGATCGGTGCGACACCTTCGGGCCTACTGAGAGTTAGGCAAAAAAAGCCAAACATCCTAATGCCTTGTGCTTTAAAATCTACTGAGATGATGTGAGACTTTCCTGGTTGAATCAATTTATAATGACCTCACTTTGGTTAGGGACGACTGGCTTTGGATAATGAAACGATCTTAAATGTGTAACATGTCTAGTGCTCTTTAATTTTGAGGTGCCAGAATCATAACCACGTTAGAATTGTCTCAATGTTCACTGTCGGTGATTTGCTCCCAACTGCTCCAGCTGCATGCAGGCTTTCACAGCCCAATGCCATGATGTCAACCACTGCCATCCATTGTACGCAAGCGTTTCATAAAAATGTAAACCTGGGTTGTGGTGGAATGTGACGACTGGAGTTTAGAGCACTGCAGAGTACACTTGACATGATCTGGCTGTCAAATCAAATGTGTCCTGGGTATGGCATTCAGCTACATCTGGTGATGGTGTGACATAAAAAAAAGATACTGTTGTAGAAGGCAAGAGGGAAACCACCTCCATCCATCTTTCCATAGCTATGGCCCAAGACAGAATGGATGCGATGCGGTAATCCTGAGCCATGTATCATAACAAACAACATGAATGAAGAATAAAACGAGTAAGGAGAATGCCGGTGAAGAAAGAAGATGTAAAAGCTTCCTGTGCATAAATGCCAAGCAGAAAAACTGAAAAAAACATTACCCAAAAAGGACCATCTGCAAGCAGTCGCCCTCCCCAACTCACCGCGTAGGCCGCCTCCCTCATGAACTGCTTGGCCGGCTGCTTCCAGATGGCGGGGACCGTGATCACCCATCGGATCTCATCGGGGTTGTACGGCAAGCCCGTCTGATCCGAGAGTTCCTGCGAGTTCCGGAGATGGGTGGAAATCCGGCAGAGCGGCGCAGCAGCAGGAGTCACGCTTGAGCGGTTCTCAAAATAAGGATTTGGACATCGGCACTCAAAAAACACAACCTGGAGAAATTTGTCATACGAAGGAAATTAGCTCAGAGGTCACCCTCAAATGATAGGGCTCGTCAATGGAGTAAAGAAGATTACTGGAGGAGTCAAAAGGTAAAATTTAAGATTGCCCAGATCAATGGTTTTCAATGTTTTTGATTATGGTGGCCACTTCCCACAAGCACTCCATCCTCCTTACCCCACCCCCCACAACCTCCTCTCCTCCTCTCCTCCCCCCATCCTCTTCTCGACAACGTGGTGTCAGTCGGGTATCTGTTTCACGTTGTGTATTTGCGTGATTTGCCGCTGCAATGCTGCGCCGACCTTGTCTGCCATTTTCCTGCACAGTATGCACGCCACAGCCTGTGCTCCGCTTGGGTTTGGGAAACACTGGCCGAGGCTCTTAGGAATTCCTTGCACTATAGCCCATGGCAACGATGCAATGCTCTTGCACCCAGCCTTCTCAAAATGGTGATTTGCTCAATTGTTTAGCAGCACAAGCGTTTGTTTTACCTGCAAGGCTCTCTCCTTGAAGAAGCGCAACGCATGGGCAAACACCTCGAGGGCTTTCACCATCTTCCCGTTGGTTGCCTCCAGCTCGGTGTCCAAGGAGATGACCTGCAGAAGGGAGTGATGATGTTTTAAAGCTTGCTTTTCTTTAATATACAGCTTTAATTAGGGTAACAGCTGCCCTCCCACAAAGCGGTCATTGTTATGTGTAAAAACTAACTCTCCCACATGTTGGCCACATTTGCGAGAAGAGTTATGGGCAAGGAGTAATAAGATGACGCAGTAGCTTTGCTTCTCTTAATCTTTAGAATTCTTCATCATGACCATGATCAGCCTTGAACTATCCACTGCTGGATTAAGGCCTTCCCCAAGCTGTCACCATCTACCACAGTATCGTGATGCTACAATCCAGGATAGCTTCTGAACGAACTAAACTAAACTACGTTTAATTTTACCAGGGGTAAAAAAAGGACCCGGAGAAAACGTTCACGCGACCACAGCGAGAGCATGCGCACTCCAAATATACAGGTGTCAAGGTCGAGATCGAACCCACGACCTCCTGAATACCAGGAGAGGTAAATTTTGATTTAAAGCTTTCGTGACTGCAGGGATTCATATTCTTGGTTCTTTCGGTAAAGTCACGTAGAAGGGAAATAATACAATAATAAAAATATAAAACAATACAAATTTTCACGACGTTTCGACTGCAACACAAGCAAATCATGCAAATACACAACGTGAAACAGATACCTGACTGACACCACCTTGTCGAGAAGAGGATGGGGGCAGGAGAGAAGTAGGGGAAGTTGTTTACCGAAAGAACCAAGAATATGAATACCAGGAGAGGTAGTTAACATCACCGTGGCACCACTTGAACACATGTCATCTCCACCTCCACGGTGGACACCCCCTCTTGGGTGTGCTCTCTCTTTCGGCTTCCACTGTCGTTGGTCTCAACCGCCGGTCATCATCCCTTTCTCGCGGCTTGCGCTGCTCAAGCCCACTTCATTTTATTAACAGTCAATTCTAACGTCTATTTACTTCGTTCCATACGTTCTCTGATCCATGCGTTCCTCTTCCCGCATGTCAGTGTAATTTCAAGCATGCACATCTCTGCGCTCCTTAGCACACTTTTGAACATTCGTTGTATTGGCCAGTGTCCATGTCTCCAATCCATGCGTCATGTTTATCGATTTCAAAATGACAACAAATGAAGTTACTCGTGCAGCAGCAGCAACGTTCCCATTCACGAGCATCAGAGCTCAAGTACCCATGTCAACTCACTCCAATCATGAGCATCATCCTAAGGTGAGAAACACTAAGTGGAAATTCAGCAGTGGCTATCCATTGTTCAACGGACTCTGCCAAATAACCTGTAAAATAGATGACTTAGCTGAGCATAGGCCGACACTTGAGTGAGGAACCACCCTTCATTTTCCATTTCATGGCATTGAATAAACAAATGCAAAACATCGTAAGCGGTCGGTAAACGTGAAATGTAATTTTTTACGGAGGTGTTGAGAAATTATGTACAAAAAAAATGCAGCGAAGAAGGGAACATAATTTCCCGTGTGTTTTTGATCTCGACACACACAAAAGAATGAAGTATTATGGGATTATCTTTGCTTACTAGGTCGTATGAAAATTACCCATTTACGTTTTGGCAAGTCGAGACGTCAAAATGCGAATACACCCTCTCTGGAACATGCGTCCAACTGTGGTTACTATTCAATGCAATCTGTCACAGCTGTCTAAACCATTCTTCCTGAGGCTTCGATGTATTTTATAAAAAAAAAGGTATTATTATGGCTATTTATTTATTTGTATGGCCTGACACGAATTGAGATTTTGCAAATGTAGAATAATGAAAAAATAACAAAGTCTTTCATGCAAGTCCCCTGAGCTGCCTATAACACTAAACCTACACATCTTGCTTCCTATTCCTTGGATCTTTCGTTAAAGTCACGTAGATAGAAAAATAAATAAAAATAAAGTGAATACAATTTTTTTTTTAATATCATCAAATAATAAAAATTGTTATTATTGTTTTTCTATCTACGCGACTTTACCCAAAGAACCAAAGAGTATGAATTCTTGCAGTCACGAAAGTTGCAAGTCAAAATCTTGCTTGCAGGCTAACATCTCAAGGTGCTCCAGGGGCGGCAGTCGGGTAGGGGAGAGCTGCTGGGCCTTCACCAGAAGTGAACACAAAGGGTTCAAAGCCGCTCATACCTCCGAAACTTTGTTTTCGATAAACCACGTGTTAAAACATAAGGGAGACACTGCCGCTGTGTCCTGGTTAGCACGTTGGACTTGCAACCCAGAGATTGCCAGTTCAGTCTCAATGTACACATTTTTGTTTAACCCCCCACCACCCTCACCTCTATCCACCCAGCAGTACAAATCGGAACACCACAGTCGATCAGCAAGTCACGTATACAGGGAGTGGAGTAACGCGTGGTTACTACCGCCTTTTCCAAGACCTCTGATCAGCATTAAAGAGTAGGCCAAAAATACTCTCTATATGGGACTCTGTCGAGAGAGAGGTCCCACTAGTGGAAGGCCCTCTGCCAGCAGTGGCATGAGCAAGCGAATTGCAGGGCTGTACCTTTACCCAAAAGTGGGTAAGGTGTCCTTTCGATGGAATTTGAAAAGAAAAACGCATAATGGCGATGCTGATGTTGACACGCACCCTCGAAGCATCAGATTCGCCTGGAACCAACGCACAATTTGAAAGTGAACCGCGTGTAAAATTGGCCTCTGCCCAATGAGCCGTGCGCTTGGTTCATTAGAGCGGCGAAAACCCACTCTCCCCCGAAACGGGGGTGTTTAGCCCACTGACTGAAATTGTTACCGCATGTAACACTCTATCGAGGCGCGTGTATTCCAAGAAGTGAGGTTTTCTCACGTGGAACATCTTAAGATGCAGTCTTTACAAATGTTCATCATCAATCATCATTAGTCATGATTTATCCAATTCTGGATGAAGACCTCCCCAAGTCGCTGCCATTTCTTACCGTCCCGTGATGCAAAAACTATCTATATCATGCACTTGAGTCGATTTCATCACTACAACTCGCAATGAATGTCCGTTCAGACGCTTTCCGTCCTTGGCTGCCACTCTGCAATTTGTCTCCACCAATGGCCATCATTCCATCGAGTGACATGTTCTGCCTTGGTCAATGTACTAATCTTAACAGGCAATATGATATCTTTAAGGGGAGTTGGGTCTCTGAACCGTATGCTCATTTTCTTGTTTCTCAGCGTAATTCCTAGCATGCTCGCCCATGATTAAAAACAATTTCACCAACTTATAAATCGAGATAGGTAAAAATACCGACCTTCTCTCCCGATGTAACTCGGTGTTTTGTAGAAGGAAAAATTGTTATCTCAAAAGATTGGTCAACGAAAAAAATATCATCACAATTTAGACAAAATTGCTTCAACACAACCTTAACTTTCCAAATACATATTGATTTAATTCCGGGGGAATTACACTTGAAGCAGGTAATATTAACGGACGTAACTATAAACTCTCAACGAATACGTTAACATGATTGTCACCTGTAATCTCTGCACATTGCCTGTGTACAAACCTGCGTCGGCTGGGCCGTCAACCACGCTCTGTGGCCATTGCACTCAAATAATCGTACGTTCGCCTGGGCCAAAGTTCAAGTCGCTTAACAACGCAAGTCAACACGTGGCTGAGCCCAGGATCCTTCACACGACGCAGGGGAGACGGAGCCTTCTGGAGCGCAGCCCCCACCAATCTGGACCCCCCCCCCTCCCGCATCTGCCTGCCACCGGACATCCGAAACGTGCCAAATGTCTCTCAATTCCGTGGTCTGTGTAAGAAGCATCTATTCTGACTAAGCTTCCCATCACAAAAAAAAATCTCATTAAAGCTGTCTCTCTCTCTACTTTTAATTGCTTAGTGCTTCTTACAGCTCTTACGCTATTCGTTGCGCACGTTTGCACTTTCTTTTGTGCGCGGTTGCTCAGCCGGTGTTTGCCGCTGGGGTGGTGACGGGTTTCTTTCTTCATTCCCTGTTGCTACTCTCTGGCCCCCGTGTACCGGTCCCATTCCGCTACGATGCGCACTGATGCCGACTTTAGCGAGGGCGATATTGGCACGTAAGAAAAACGATTGATTGATTGATTGATGCGGGACGCTGAGCCTTGCCCGAGCGTTTAGAACACTCCAACTGCATGCTGGGTTTACTTTCTTGGCACGGAACCACGTTCAACGAGCCGGGCCGCGTGCGTCGGTCGCTGCAAGCGCGAATGCGGTCATCACTGGACTTCTGTGAAAAAGAGCTTCATAACTCTTCGGATTCCTCCGGTCTCAATAGCGATTCTGATTCGGCGTGAAGTCGCAGTCTCAGACGAGTCGTCGACAACCCGTGGAGCTTTAGTCAAGTCCTACTCTGCGCATTTCATCGAAGCATTATCTTAAGGTCTAGTCGACAAACGGCAGTTGAACAGTTAGTCCACAAATGTAGTGGTTATTAAGATTTTGGTTAAAGGGTTTGTGAAATTTCCCACCCAGCATTATTGATCAGGTTAAACACTCATTGTACTTCATGAACCTCTTTATATACATATTATAATAACGTGCATTTGTAAGGCACATTTCATTCGTAGACGTCAATATTGGCAAATGCTCTGTTTGGTCTTTTCTGGGCTCACTGCAGTTTCTCGTCACGTGACGAAGTTATCTTAAAGTTGATTTGAATCTTTCGTGACTGCAGGGATTACTCTTTGGTTCGTTCGGTAAAGTCACGTAGAAAGAAAATAAATCAAATAATAGAATACGACGTTTCGATTGCAACACAAACAGTCGTCATCAGGTCGAACTAAATTTGACAGAGAGACAAAACACAGACACACACAGACAGACACACAAGCAGAGAGAGAGACACAGAGAGAGAGAGAGACACACAACATAGACGCACAGAGACGTTATCTTAGTCTGCGTCTTCGTTTCAGACTCAACAATTTCGTCTCGTCACAGTGGGCAGTCGTTAGTTTTTGCAACGCTCGATCATTTACATCCACTCGAAGTCATCAATGACTAAATAAAAATGACTAAAAAAACCACTCTCAATTGACGAATATTCCCGTCACTAATTTCATCACCGGTTACCATGTGAGTTGCGAGTGTGCCTTTTTCTGCTTTGACGTTGCACAGCGGTCGTTAAAGCGTCCTACAATAGCTGGCATCGCGGAAGAGAGAGAGAGAGAGGGGGACAGACAGCTGCTCCGCTGCAGATGGCGGCATCCATCTCCGCATGGCCGGCACCGCCGAGCTGACAGATGCGGCACTCGGCGATGAAAAAATGACCCCTCTTCTTGGTTCTTTCGGTAAAGTCACGTAGAAGGGAAGTAATAAAATAATAAAAATAAAACATAATAAAATAATTCTCACGACGTTTCGGCCACAACGCAAGCAGCCGTCCTCAGGTGTGGCCGAAACGTCGTGAGAATTATTGTATTATGTTTCATTTTTATTATTTTATTATTTACCTTCTACGTGACTTTACCGAAAGAACCAAGAAGATGAATCCCTGCAGTCACGAAAGCTTTAAATCGAAAAATGACCCCTCTTCTTGGTTCTTTCGGTAAAGTCACGTAGAAGGGAAGTAATAAAATAATAAAAATAAAACATAATACAATAATTCTCACGACGTTTCGGCTAGAACGCAAGCAGCCGTCTTCATGTGTTTTATTATTTATTATTTTATTACTTTCCTTCTACGTGACTTTACCGAAAGAACCAAGAAGATGAATCCCTGCAGTCACGAAAGAAGCTTCAAATCGAGAAATAATGACCGTCGCTTAGTCCCAACCGCGCCAGCCTCGCTGCACTGCCTCGCTACCAGAAGACGAACGCTGCTGCTGCTGTTGCCGCAGATGAGCTTCATCGCTCATCGAGTTCCTCCAATCTAATTCACAAATCTGATAAAGATTCGAAACATGACGCTACTGCGTCCCCACGGCCATCGCTAAGCTGGCTCGTTAGCCCGGGAATGAACGGCAGGAATCGAGCGCGAGTCCTCACGCTCCATCAGCCACGGGGCCGCCCTCTTCTTCTCGTTCTCCTCTCGTCTCTAATCCCTTGGCCTTCTCGGCTGTTGCTGTGCCACATCTGACTCTGCTCGTGCTGCATCGGTGCCATTGCTGGCTGCCCCCAGGTTCTGTTCTGCGATGACAAATTTCTATTGTCGTAAAGTAACAAAAATGCTCTTAAAGTAACGCTTAACGCAAGCATTCGTTAGGTGAGGGCAGGGGTCGCTAACCGAAATAACAAAAAGAGCCATTTTTTTCGAGCTCGGTAAAAAAAAACCTCATGATTTCAAGAGCTGCAATGCACGTGAATATGAGACGGTGATGCTAAGTAACTAACATCACGTCGCAGTCCTTCAAGAGTCGCATAGGCTCCTGAGCTGCAGTTGGCCGCCCCGAGGACTCGGGCTTCCGTAGATACGAGCTGTTTTGTAATTTTCCGACCCACTCTCCGCTCCAGCAAGCAATGCTTTCTGTTGAAGCAAAGGGTCAAACTTTGTTGAGTGGGAGGTCACCCATTTTCCTCTCCTGCCCTCGCAGTCTGGAACTGCCTTGCCCCAGCCACCATCTCGCAGTCTGGAACTGCCTTGCCCCAGCCACCATCTCGCAGTCTGGAACTGCCTTGCCCCAGCCACCATCTCGCAGTCTGGAACTGCCTTGACCCAGCCACCATCTCGCAGTCTGGAACTGCCTTGCCCCAGCCACCATCTCGCAGTCTGGAACTGCCTTGCCCCAGCCACCATCTCGCAGTCTGGAACTGCCTTGCCCCAGCCACCATCTCGCAGTCTGGAACTGCCTTGCCCCAGCCACCATCTCGCAGTCTGGAACTGCCTTGCCCCAGCCACCATCTCGCAGTCTGGAACTGCCTTGCCCCAGCCACCATCTCGCAGTCTGGAACTGCCTTGCCCCAGCCACCATCTCGCAGTCTGGAACTGCCTTGCCCCAGCCACCATCTCGCAGTCTGGAACTGCCTTGCCCCAGCCACCATCTTGCAGTCTGGAACTGCCTTGCCCCAGCCACCATCTCGCAGTCTGGAACTGCCTTGCCCCAGCCACCGGTGCCTGTCGACTCCGTATGCCCCTTTTTAGTCCTGGCTCAAGACCTTCCCCTTTTGTGACTGTTTCTCGGTTATCCTATGGATAGACTCGCTCCCGCCATATGGATGTGGAATTTCCACCACTGGCCCTGCAGGGTTGTCAACAGGAGATGAGCACCAGTGCCTCAACGCTCATTTGAGCAGGGAATAATTTTCACCTTCTTATGTTTGACAAGAGGAGAAAACATTACAACTGCATTTCTCATCCACCCCCCTCCACCCCTGCCAACCGCCGCTCCCCACCTCGTGTGGAATTGCAGAGTCCCTCGCTCGCGAGAGCGCGTGCGCACGCACGGCGCATCGACCGCGGTCGTAGCGTGGGTCTTTATAAAAGCGACCGCGAAGGACCAATGAAGCTCCGGGCAACAAATTGCTCTCGCTACTCCCTCTCTCTTCCACTCCGGCTCGAATGCTTTAAACGGCACGCTACGGAGCCCCATCTCGAGAAGAAACTGGCGGCGTTGGACACAGTCCGTCCCCTCGAACGCCAACGGCGAGCGATCTCAACGGTCCGGTGGTGAACGCGGCGTTCGTACTAAAAGTAAAAAAAAAATATCTCCAAAGAGGGATGATTCTCGAGGACAATGCTGAGCGCACGGAACTCGCAAACAATCCAGAGGTCGTGGCGGGTGAAACAATGGGAACGTTTCTTAATGTATACATTTTTACCCGGGGAGAGGCCCCCCCTCCCTCCCAAACTGCCACTACGCCACTGGTCAGGAGCGCTGCGTTTGCAGTGCCGGCCAGTGTCGCAGGCAGGGACGTTCTTTGGCTTTAAGCAGACAACATGGGTCACGGTTGTAACCAGAGCTCAATTTCAACCGGAACACTGTTCCAGGAACCATTTTGGCGAGCGACAGTCCATCTCTCGCCTTATTTGGTCCTAAGCCTTTTGTGTGTATGTTAAACCTCTTTCGCGCTGTACATAGCCAACCGTGCTGATCGGAGGATTACAGGAATACAGGGTGCAAAACAATAGTATTATTCTGAATAGGCACACCGTGTACTTTAGTACCAGTGCATCGACAATTATCCTTACTTCTAGCCAGCCCAAGGGTGTTCCCGAAAATACCGAGTGATAAATAAATCCCTGGTTTTAACAATCGCTGTTTGTAGAGTCTCTCTGATGGTACGATAGCTTTGGAACAAATAAAAAAAAACATCCTCGCGGGCCATTTTGTGCGCAGTGTTTCCAAGGGGAAGCACGATAATCAGGAAAGAAAGTACAATAAACATTGAACGCTAGTCCTCGCTGAGCCTGCACCATCACTCGCTTTCCGTCAACGTCTGCACAATTGCTTGCCATTCGCACTGGACAATATCATATGGCCATTGACCATAGTGTACAAGGCTGCTCCAGCGAACGATTAAGCAAAACCTGCGTATAAACCAGGTCTCCAACGCTCCCTTAAAAAAAAGGACATTTCTTGTCTCAGTGGGTTCAGAGAGCGCACACAAATCAGGGACACCATCCATATATTGGCTGTGAACAAAAGTGACAACATTTCGATTTAAAGCTTTCGTGACTGCAGGGATTCATCTTCTTGGTTTTTTCGGTAAAGTCACGTAGAAGGGAAATAATAAAATAATAAAAATAAAACATAATTAAATAATTCTCACGACGTTTCGGCCACAACGCAAGCAGCCGTCCTCAGGTGAAGCGTCTGATGCTGTCTTTCCGACAGACCTGCAGATTTTTGCCACGTGTCCCACAGATCAACCACGGTTGCCCAGACAATGACCCCTGTCTGTATGCATGCTGAACTTCTTTTGCACCGTACGTAGCCAACCGTGCTTATCGTGCGTGCGTCTAGCACGCAACCCCTGCCCCCCCAATGAAACCACTCATTACGTTCATGTCGTGGAGCTTCATCTTGAACTTGTCGAAGTAGAGCCAGGACGTCGCCTCGCTCGGCTCCAGGTCGTGGAAGAAGTCGCGAGCGGAGAAGCCCAGGCTGTGGAAGCGCCCGTCCGGAGTGAGCAGCAGCGCCGTGGGCGTCTTCTGGCTCGACACCCCCGGGTCGCCACCCTCCCAGCGCCTGCCGAGTGGTCACGCGGTGGTCACGCGGTCAACGGCAGGCACGGCATCACGTTCACGGCAGAGGTCGCAACCGGGTACCCGATACCCGTACCCTACTCGATACCCGGCTACCCGTACCCGGCCGGGTACGGGTACGGGTACCCGTTTGCGACCCTGGTGCGGCCGGGTACGGGTACGGGTACCCGTTTGCGACCCTGGTGCGGCCGGGTACGGGTACGGTTGGACCGTGAGTCACTGGTGAGTAACTGTTTGTTACTCATTTCCCAACGTCTTGTCTCTTTTCACAATTCAAGTTCCTAGAATCAACCCATCCGCGCCTGCAACATGGCTTCATCCCAGAGGTCGCAATCAGGTACCCGATACCCGTACCCTACCCGTACCCAGCCGGGTACAGATAAGGTACGGGTACGGCCGGGTACGGGTACCCGTTTGCGACCCTGGTGCGGCCGGGTACGGGTAAGGAATCAAAACCCGTTTGCGACCTCTGGTTCACGGAATCCCGTCGCCAGAACAGCCAATACACGGTGGCTCAAACATCCAAAATATGACGAATCTGTGATTTATCCAGGAGGGCAACGTTGAGTTGTAGGACTGTTTCTCAGGAGGGTCCTGCTACGTTTATTGGCTTGTTGTTATATTATAATTTTTTTTGACAATTAATGAGAGTTTACTTTACGCGTGAGAGCAGAACCGGAGCATCCAGAGAAAACCCACGCGCACAAAGTGGCAACACTCTATCCCCGTACAGATGGAACCATATGTCAATTAGTCCACTTGCTGTAATGGCTTCTCATGGAGAGCCGGGGGAATGGCACGCTGTTAAAATTCAATTAAAGTGAAATGTGTATATGGGAATCTCCCGTGGAAACAAACAGCAACAAAAGCCTTTGCGTTCGAACTGTTTCATGACCGCCTATTAAACCTAGCATGGCCAAGGATAGGGTGGTGTGGCAGGAACCATGCCTAGCTGCCTTTGTCTCCCCGGTGCTGATGTCCACAAACAGCATCGGGTGGTACTCGTTTAAGGCCGAGTCGACCTAGGGGGTGAACCGGAACAGTTTCTGATATCACTCGCCATTGACGTTAGCCGTGGCTGGTGACAACATCGGCTGTAATTGTGACAACAAAACAAATGGTAATGATTATTAAGAGTGTACTGCCCTTTGATAATGTACTGCTGGATGAAGGCCTCTCCATGTTGGGGCGGTCATGGGAGTTGACTGACCAAACTTCACCATGCTCATCAATGTGGGAAGGTGAAGTTGAGGTGTGGGAAGAGATTGGGGGGGTGGTGGTGGGGGCAAGGACCGGTTTCAAATATCCCTTATCACCGATGTTCGCTGTCGTCGAGAATAGAACTCAGGTTGCAGGATTTACAGGGCAGTGCTACGACCCGATGCGTCAATAGAGCGCACGTCCACACACGCGCACTCTCACGCGGGCGTCCACTTGGCTGATGATGGATGAGAGCCAACAGAAGCCCAGCAGAGGGCTCGAGGTGAAATAGGATCTTATGCGAGAGACGCTTCAGCTCGCTCGAGGCCGTGATTGTGAAACGCGGCGTCGGCGGCCGAGAGGGCCGGTTGTTTCCTCGTGAATTAAAGCGCCCGTCGGCATCGCCCGGATCGATACGCCTCTGCTCATCCCGCGCGCGCGCGCGCGCCGGCGGCACAAGAGGGGCGAGCGCGCGGTGACGTCTGGGGACCTCATCATGTGGATGGCGGACGGCTCGCTCGTGAAGCTGTAGGCGTAGCCACTCGAGGTCGTCCCGAAGTCGATGGCGACCACCACCGAGAAGCCTCGAGCCGGCGGCTGCTCTTCGCCGCGCTTCTGCGCGCAGACAAGCGGACAGGCAGGGGGAGAGCGAGCGAGTGAAACGGTGAACACCTGGGCAGGTGAGCAGGCAGGGAGAGAGCGAGTGAGACGGTGAACACCTGGGCAGGTGAGCTGGCAGGGAGAGAGAGCGAGTGAGATGGTGAACACCTGGGCAGGTGAGCAGGCAGGGAGAGAGCGAGTGAGACGGTGAACACCTGGGCAGGTGAGCAGGCAGGGAGAGAGCGAGTGAGACGGTGAACACCTGGGCAGGTGAGCTGGCAGGGAGAGAGAGCGAGTGAGAGAGTGAACACCTGGGCAGGTGAGCAGGCAGGGAGAGAGCGAGTGAGACGGTGAACACCTGGGCAGGTGAGCTGGCAGGGAGAGAGCGAGTGAGACGGTGAACACCTGGACAGGTGAGCGGGCAGGGAGAGAGAGCGAGTGAGAGAGTGAACACCTGGGCAGGTGAGCAGGGAGAGAGAGCGAGTGAGAGAGTGAACACCTGGGCAGGTGAGCAGGCAGGGAGAGAGAGCGAGTGAGACGGTGAACACCTGGACAGGTGAGCTGGCAGGGATGGAGAGCGAGTGAGACGGTGAACACCTGGGCAGGTGAGCGGGCAGGGAGAGAGAGCGAGTGAGACAGTGAACACCTGGGCAGATGGGCAGGGAGTTAAACAGAAAGACGGATCAGACACAGAGTGACAGGCAGACAAATGGACGAGCAAACGGACAGAGACGCAAACAGAAAGCCAGACAAACAGATGGGTAAGTAGAGAGGCAAGCAGGCAGACCGACAGGCATACAAGACAACCAGAGGCAGACAAGCGGACAGACAGACAGACGAACAGGGCACCTTCTGAGCGAGACAGAGAGAGAGAGTAGCGGAAGGAAAACAACGAGCGAATCCATTACGCAGACGGAGGAGAGACGACGAGAATGTGATTACGCGCGCGTGCATGTGTTTTGTGTTTATACAAAGCCATTTTCTACAATTAAAAAAGGCGGGTGGGGGGGGGACATAGCACGCATAATTAATACAAGGTACGAGAACACTGAATTACAGTGATGTTGCAAATGTCCTGCGTGTTATTGCCAAACACTAGCATTAAGTGCCATTTTATTGTCAGCGCATGCAGCAAATTGCACGGAACAATGCATTGCAAATGTCAGGGTAATCTGTTTTCAATTTATTCCCAGTAATTGGTGGTTATACACATTCGCGGGCGTCCGACTGGCAGGTAGCAATTGGCGAGGCAATTCGCGTTGATTGCCGCGTTCAACTGGTGTGCCTGTTGCGTGCATTTCGCGATGATGGATAGGCAAAGTTATAATCTCTGTCAGATGTGAGGAGTAAGCCGGCTGGAAATGGAATGGAATTGGGAATACATATTTCATCCTCCCCCGCCCCCCCCACAACTAACCACTGATAGAAGACACAAAACAAGGATATACAGCGGGAAAAGTTTGTATTTTCTCGCTTAGTTCGAAATAGTTTTGAGGTTAGTAATTGCACGAACGGATCAGGGCATACCAACATAAATGCATTTCGTCGTCATCAATCAGCGGCAGCAATTGTGGGCATGATCTATCCGCTATTGGATGAACGCATCCCAACCGTACTCCCCCCTCCCGTCCCACTTCCCCTGGGCAGTGCAAATCGGTGAAGATTAAACAAATGCATCTATCGGAAAGTAAATGTTGTTTTGTGCATGCGTGTGGGTGTGTGCGTGTATCCGCGTGTACGTGCGGGTGTGTGCATTTGCGTGCGTGCGAGTGTGGGCGTGGGGGTATTCGCGTGTGTGCCCGTGCAACGCCTGCGTGTGTGCCGGTGTGTGCGTGCGTGTGTGCCTGTGTGTGTGCGTGCGTGCCTGTGTGTGTGCGTGTGTGCCTGTGTGTGTGTGCGTGCGTGCCTGTGTGTGCGTGTGTGCCTGTGTGTGCGTGCGTGTGTGCCTGTGTGTGCGTGCGTGTGAGCCTGTGTGTGCGTGCGTGGGTGCCTGTGTGCGCGTGCGTGTGTGCCTGTATTGCGTGCGTGTGTGTGTGTGCGTGTGTGCCTGTGTGTGTGCGGGTATCCGCGTGTGTGCCCGTGCAACGCGTGCGTGTGTACCGGTGTGTGTGCGTGCGCGTGTGCGTGCGTGTGTGTGCGTGTGTGCCTGTGTGTGCGTGCGTGCGCGCTTCCTCGCACGCCGTTGCTGTTGCATCCTCGCGCGTTCGCGTCCGGCCGCCAGGGGACATTCAGGTCACAGATTGAGACTGTCGCTGACGTTTCCCAGCACGTCGCAAACATCGCAGTGACAAATCTCCCCTCCCTCGGCGCGGCACCGTCAACCCCCATGAGCTCAGCACATGCGCGGCGGCTGAAAGACGCGGCCCGACCCATCGCCACCTCCGCCATCACCCCCCGCCCCCACTTACTCACCCCCCCACTCCCTTCCGATGTTATTGTCCTCGGGAAGCAAAGTGGAGAGAAAGCCGGCACTCCCAGGGTGTAATCACACCGCGGGGTTTGCAGCATCACCAATTGCACCGCCGCCAATCTCTTTCGTACGGCTGGATGGACAACAACGCATCGCAACAAAGTCTACGTCTACGGATGAGTTTAGCCGGGAAATTGCTTCAGTCGATGAGCCGGTCGATTGCTTCGCAGCCCTGCGTTGGCTTTTCTGAGCTCACGGTGGCCCAGTTCGCTCGTGGGCTCGCACGGTGACTGACACACGCAGATCCATGGACTCACATAGAGAGCCCATAGACTCACTTGGAGACGCGCAGACTCGCACAGTGTTCACGTCAGCATTGGCCAGTCATCCCAATGCTGAAAAGTGACACGCACATTCCTCAATTGGGATTTTACACTTCGAAACATCGCTTCCCTACTACGAATAGAACTTGACAGGACCCTACTGAAAAAAGAGCATTGATACTCGGTGAGGTTTCCCTGAATACATAGTCCTACAAAGAATAGAGTATAACTTTGGTTCACTGCTGTGGGGTCGATGGTCTTGCTCGTTGTTTCTGCAGTGACACAATTGGATATTATCAAAGTGGTCTAGGGGCAGATCTGCCGCGAGGCGTGCAGATTCGATTCCAAGTGGCCCAGTTTTTTCGAGGTAGATTCAAACCCGGGCTTCTGTTAGTGTGGTCGGTGATCAGCAGCTGCCTCCGCGTAGCTTTGCCCAGTTGCCCTGCGGTTACGCCGCGCGTCGTCCGGAGTGATGTCCGACGTTTCGCTGCACATGCTGGGAGCCTCTGCGGGCACTGACTGCTGGCAGTTTACGTTCTCCCTCGATAATTATCTGGGATGTTGGTGTTCGGTCCCAAAACTGTCGCCCTTTCTCCAGGGCGTTAAAACGAAACAACACCACCCAGTGCCACCGCCAGCGACGAGGGCTGGGAGATCGCTGAGCTCACCGCGGGCATCGACGGGGTGAGAGGCGCGATGCCACATCCGGCGGGGCTGCCCGGGTGACTCTGGGTTTGCGGCTCGGGTTCTTCAGCGCCTGCAAATGGGAAGACGAGCAGGTGAGCGAGGAGGCGCCGTGCCAAGCAAATAGCGGAAGGGAAACTGCGCACAAACCTAGAGGTGGATGAATGAACGGACGGATAGGCAAACAGGCAAGCGGGTAAGTAGGCAGATAGACGCATTGACAAAGATTAATATTGTTAGGTTTTTTCGGTAAAGTTACTTGATACAGCTATCGTGCTGTGACGGTTCCACCTGAAGACGGGAGCTTGTGTTGCGTCCGAAACGTCGTGATTTTTTTTAAATTTTATTAATTTAAATTTTTTACCTACGTGACTTTACCGAAAAAACCTAAGACTATAAATCCTTGCAGTCACGAAAGCTTCAAATCTAGAATTGACAAAGATCCCAATGTACTCTTTAACAATTCGTGCGGGCAAGTCATGCTAGCGAGCACCTATTAAGGGCACGATCAGCATGAAAGGGATTGGTGTAGCACCACGCACGGTCGCCTTTGATTCCCCCAGCGCTGACGTGTACCTACCGCGGGAGGTACTCATTTAAGGCTAAGTCGACCTAGGAAATGCTTAGGATGAGTTCGGATGCAACTCGCCGCTGACGGGAATCGAACCCAGGGGGCTGGCGTTAGTGGTGCAGTGCGCTAACCACTGTACCGCCACTCTTACAGATAGAACCATCCATAGAACAATGTATAGAGAGACTGAGAGGGGGGAACGCGGCATTTACAAAGCAAACTCATTTTACACACAAAGAGGGCCAGCGCGAGCGGAGTCATTTTGCAAGAGTAAAATGACGAGGAAAAAAAAAAGAGCAACGTTATCACGTTGAGAATGCGCCACGAGTCTTGACTCGATGGTTATCCACTCTGTCAAACGCCAAGCAATTTCCACCCACGCCTGGATTTCAATCTTTACTGTTGGGTCAGAAATTGAGCAGACATTTGGATCTAGATAATGTGTGTCGACATGCAATACACGTGCCTCATTGCTGCTCCACCTGTGTTTTGAGTCGAGGAAAACAGAAAAAAAAGATATATATCCTTTTATTGTTTCGTACAAGCAATTGAGAAAATAAGATAGGTTAAAGTGTTTAAAAGGGAAAAGAAATACGTGGAATGTCAACTTAATCTCGACTATGTATGCACCTGCACATACATTCTTCAAAGTGGCATTTTGTTGAACTTTCCACATCCCACGGTGTTGGCTGACCCGGGGATCACAGTGGGTGGTATCCGTATTGGCCAAACACCCACTGTGCTGTTCAGATTACTGACCAATATCAAATAAACAATCTCTTCCAGGCTCACTCGCCCGCGTTCCCTGCGAGGAGTTTGCACGTCTGGCGGTTTGCGCGCGCGTGAGTTCATCTGTGAGAGATGGGGGGGGGGGGGGGTGTCGCTTTCCATGGCGGCACTCGGCGTCAATTTCTCGCGAAAATTCGCGATACAAAATTTAAACAACAATCCCGATTTGCAAGGATACCGACTTGGACGTTTCGAAGGCTTGCGTGCCAAACGGGACCGCGATGAGTTCCCCGGAATCGAGCTACGAGAGACTACTGGGCCAGCTGTGAAGAAGAGCTTCATGGCTCATCGGATTTCTCCGGCATCAGTAATGATTCTGGTTCCGGATCAACGGTTGTCGAGAATTATCACGCGGAGTGTGGAATGTCGCGATCAGGCTGTGTCGCAAGCATCCATTTGTGAATGTCGATGAGATGTGAGTCGACGTAATGTGTTGAAGACACGTCCCATGTGTTGCATGTAAGCGCTTTACGTGTAATTACATCCCGAAACGCATGTCACGTGGAGTCACGAGTGTACACGGCTTCAATTTCAAGCTGAATCTGTCCGGCTCGGCGACCCAAGAAATATTTTCCAACACGGCGTATCACATCCAAGTCGACGTCTCGCTATAGCCATGGCTACGACCAGTCACTCGCCTGCATCAGTCTGCAAACGACTCGTAAATAGTCAGTGCGAAATTAAGCCCTGTGAGTGTATGCAAAAGATTTAATGACAGAAAAAAATTGTCATATATTTTCGACTATTTCCACTTGATATTTGCGCATTTAAAATTGGCTGACATTACATTCGCTGATGTAAACAAGTGTAGCTGGCTCAAAGACAATTTCCAATTCATGCACTTCATGCAATGATTTATTAACTCTGATTAAAAAAATAAAACCCGCAAAGCTTTGCTTTAAAAATGAAACACATCACGGTGGATGATCGTGCTTTGTCTGGGCGACGGCTGTACTTCAATAAAAAAACACCAATTATTTATGATGAGGATAATAATTACTATGAAAACATTGGCTTTAGTGGTAACAAACACAATAACTGCGATGATCAGTATTATATCGACCATCATCATAATCGGCATCAATGGGACTCACCCATTGAGGAATTGTGAAAACGGAATATAATGTCTGCGGGAATCACCCAGACCTATTCACCATCATCAGCCATGTTCAATCCACTGCTGCACAAAGGCTTTCGAAAGCCATGCCACAATCAAGCTGGCACCTCCGTGCCAGCTGATTTCGCTGCTCTGTCTCTACTGTGGGTGGTATCTCGTGTGCGCTCTTATTCTGATGTAGCGACGCACAAAATAGTATTGCACGGCGACACCATGCTGCGTATTGTCATCTATATTGAATGATGTTGGCATTGATGCACAATTTGGTAAAGTATCACTTTCATGCAAAACACATTTAATGAATGTGATGCGCTCTCATGATTGAGATGAATATTTTTTTAAAAACCCAACAATATTGTAACATGTACTTAGAAACATTAATGCGTTTCACTTAAATGTGGTTTTAACTTACAATGCTACAATTAATGTTTCTGCGAGAAATAGATGTCCATTACTTTCCACTTCATTGAATGCTACGGATGCTATTCTTTCCACTTAATTACAACCCAGGTTCTAAAGCGAATATCGTTTCGAATGAAATCCCAGTTTCGCTTGTAATTTGAGTGTCAATATGATTTTTTGTACTTAAGCCCAGAAAATGAAGGCATTTACTCATGTAGAAGCCAACATTGTTTTTTCATTGCGAAAATAAGCTCCTCAAAGGAAAGATGATTAAGGACCACATGACGTTGACACTCGCTCTGCCGAGTTGACGACGCCACCGCGTGCAGAGCAGTTCCTCGCATCCCATCGCATGAAAAACTCAGTCTCTCCCGTTCACGCGCGTATGGAACTCATTACACTTTCATTTCCCCTTTGGTTCACGGCCAGGAAAACAATAGCACAGCAGCCAAACTCAAGCAACAATGCAAACATCAGAGTACGGTGAAACCCTTCGGTTGGGCATAGAGCTGTCAGAGATATTGGGAACGCACACAGCATAAAACCCACAAAGAGCATGTATCGTAAGTGTGTTTTAATAATAATAATATACCTTGAAGATATTTTTTTCTTAGATAATGATTAGCCGCATTAAATAGGGCAAAAAGCTATAGGTTGAAATGTGAAAGTTTTCACGAGCGGCCTCGGTAACAGGAAACCACATCTGAATTCCATAACGGTCTCTCTCATATATTCCACACAAAAAAAAAAGAGTCTGTGGATGAAAATCACAGCGCACGGCAATTACCACAATTTACGACCAGAAGCCCAATCATGTAAATTGTCAGCCAATCATACTGGAATGTATCTCGAAAGCACCGCCAGGTCCGATTGAACCTTTAATAAACCGGGCACTCATACGATCCGCTCGGCATTGATGCATTAAAATAAGATCTAGCGTTTTAACGCTAAACAGCGACAATCTTTGGGCCATGGGCTTCTCTAATCGTGCAGTCTCTGAATCACGTCGCGTCCGAATGGAGATGTAAAAGAAACCGTGTTTGCTTCAACTGCATGCGACGCAATAATTGTTATTATTGTTACGAAGATCTGCGAAAGAATGAGCTGAAATATTTGAATAAAATCTTTATATAAATAAATATGTGTGTGTGTGTATATATAGACACGTTGCTGATCATTCTGCATGTTGCGAGTCGCTTCATTGCTTGAGTATGTTTATGCAAAACACGAGTCGTCGATGAATCGCCTACTGAAAGTGACTGCGTCAGAAAATGGAATGTGGATTTAATGCGAAAGCAGCTGTTAATTTAATGTTTAAATCTTTTTTGCAGGAAAAAAACAATATTCTTAAGGCTGCCAAAAAAAGCGTACATAAAATTCAATCCATCATTTAAAAATATATATTTAATTTCATAAAAAAAACTGTTTGAGTAATGTGTTTTGCGCATGGCATTTTTGCTAATAAAATGAAATTGCACATTTTGCTTATTTTTGCTTATTTTTCCAGATGCCATGCATTTGTTGCTTTAAATAAAGCAACATCAGACCAGTTTAAGTAGAATGGTTTAATCATAACAAACTCCCCCCTCCCCTCCTGTGGAATAAAAGCACCCAAGAAAATGAAATCAGCAGAAAGTGGGTTACTTCACTTTACTTAAAAGCAATTTTCACTTCTGCACTCCACAATTGCAGCTTAATTTTTGCTCAACGGCCGTGAACTCCCAGGCAAGGTTGCTCGCTCAGAAACATTTCCGAACGGCTCTCTTAAAAGTTAAAGCGTCAGCTCATTTCCGATCCGCGTTCTTTATCGGCTTCTGCAGGGCCATCCCAATTCCACGGGACACTACTTTTTTGTTTTGTTCCAACGGCAATCGCAATCAAAACACAATGGAGGGGTGAGGCCTCGGATGCCCGTAACAGCACATAGTGAACCGGATGACGGCCACGACGCTTGGGAATACATATTTTTTTTGTTCCACCGGTTCTCCTGTTCCCTTGGCCACAGGAAACTTCTGAAAAAGCCACGTCCTGAAAAAAAAAATTTCTCCGGAGGGCCACCGAGGTTATGGGCAGGGCCATGCGCAGACGCGCAACCAGAACTCGAACTTTGAGTGACACCTCTCGTTCTTGTGAATCGGCAGCAGAGGAGGTGCCCCAACGACGGGTTTATTTCTTGATGGAGCCATGGACGAAA